AGGGTGGACAGAAGGGTTGACAACTAATGAAGACCACATTTTCGAATCAATAAAAATTGTACAGAACACGTACGCGAGAGGAATCTAATCATACGATATGTAATCCCAACCAAGCTCAAGCTCATCCTCATCTCCTACAATGTCCGGAAGAACTGCCACTGCTTTAATGTCAGCATTGCATACAAGATTCAACTTGCTCCAGGCGCCGAGGCACATCAACACACGTGTCGATGCAACAGTGAGTCGGTTACAAATGTGCGAAAGGACAAGGCGCCCTTTGCTGAAGATGTGTTCGACATCCGTGGAGGTGGCTGGTAATGAAACAGAGTGTTATCATGATTGGCATATATGTGAATGAGGGATTGACGTACCGGGGATAGACAGATAATTACGTGCCATTCGCGATAAGCGGGGGTAGACGGCACACATTTCGACCCACCAGATAAGTGGGTCTTTGACGTTTTCTGGTTCAGTGCTTAGGTATTCTGCAAGCTCACTATGAAGTTCATTGTTGAGAGGTGCGGAACTGGAGCAAGCGAGCAGGTCGTCGAAGAGGTTGGCTGATTTCTGGATGGGGCTCTTGATAAATATAGTGAGCACCACACCGAACTGTGGAAGATATACCCAACGTACTGATGGGGATTCCTCCTTGTCATTGGTTTCAATACACATCTCCATGTAGCCTCTATCAAATTCTGCTTCAACGATCCCACAAGCCATTTTGATCCATTCTTCCTCCCATCCAGCAGATCGGAAGTAAGTGAGTTTACACTTGGGGTCGAGGACTGAGAAAAGAGTTAGATAGTGAGAACAGAATAAAAGAAGAGAACTTACCCATCGCAATCCGATAAACTTCGGAATGATCAGTCATGTTGTAATACTTATTTAATAACTGCTTTCCGATCAACATTGACACTTGGATCGATGGCAAGTACTTCGCGTTGAGGGCACCAGATGCAAGGTGCTTATCAATGTAGTCCATGGCAGAGATAACCTTCAAAAGATTTGGTGTTTGGCCAGAGAAGAAAAGTGTTGCTTGTTTGAAAATCTAGAGTAGACGTCAAAGAATGTCCGATGCAATGAGAATAGAAGTTACTCACATCCAGAATGCCTGCCAGCTGGCCAGCAATCTTCCACTCCTCTTTGGAAAGCTCATACGATCTCAGCTTCATCTCACATATACTTGTCAAGCTATCCAAGGGTGTACGATACACGAGCGCAAACTGTAACATATTGAAGGTCGAGTTCCATCATGTAGCGACATCATGTGGCATCATCCGAACAGAGAGAATTTTTTGTTTTGTGGATTTACATACCTCAGTGTGTTCTTCAAGGATAGATAACCATTCAGGACAGACAATGGTAGTTGAGTTCTTGATTGTGAAGGCAAGTTTACACAACTATCCAACAAACATTGTAAGTCCGACTGTGTTAGGTTGAGTCTGAGTCTGTATGTACTTTCACCAACACCAATCGTACTGGCTGCAAGCTCTCGTCAAGCGCAGCTACCTCATCCATCGACATCCCATCTCAAATGTCTGCCAGACCTTCACCATCGTCATCTTCCTCTTCATCGCCAACCAGATCACTTGCCATCGCCACTTCCTCGCTCTCAATATCGCAAGCCAGGTCAGCAAGAGCCTGTGTAGCAGCATTGAGCACCTCGCCTGTCCTAGCCTTTGGGAGGTCAAATTGCTTCATGACACTCTTGGTGACGAGGTTGAGAATATGGGTAAAGCAGCGTGTACGGTTTGCCGCGCCAGGAAAGTCATCTAAAAGCTTTACAAGTTCGTCGATCATGACATTGTTTGGGGAGGCGTTGTCGCAGGTAATGCTGAGGACCTAAATAAAAGTGAGTAAACTAATTCAAAGTTGAAGAATATCGTTGTATTGACCTTGTCCACAATTCCGAAGTCATCGAGGATCTTTGCGAAGGCCGGTGCAAGGTTCGAACCAGAGTGGGACTCGGCAACCTCAATGAGATCAAGCAGCATACACAACAGGACCCCATTCTGCTCAAGGTGGACAGTTACAGCAATATAAGCTTTGGAGTTTGGGGATGTCCAAGCATCTGTTCCAAAGCTTAGCTTCCCATCGTGTTCCTGGTTCAAAGTGAGTACAAATCTTCTGATATCAACAGTAACATATGAACTGACCTGAAGCATCTTAGTGATCCTCTTTCGCACTCTAATGAAAACTTCTTTGACATCTCAGGAAATGGTTGAATGCGATGGTAAGTAATATTCAGGCCTCCCCGTTTTCATGAGGCAGCGAAAGCCATGGTCTTCAACTATACTGAAAGGGCGCATACTCTCCGCCACCCAACGAACGATCTCCACACTGTCAAGTAATGTTCAGCATGAAGAGAGTAGAAGAGAGAAAGTTTCATACCAGGTTTCTGGCTTGGTGTGCTGGCGATGTGAGTACGTGATCTTCCCTTTCCCCTTCCGTTCAAAGGCAGCCATAATTGAACCATCCTTGAGGTTTCCGAGGGTTGCGCAAGCAGAGCAAATGTCAACCTTCACTTCCAAAGCACTATCTATGGTCTCAGCTTCCCAGCATCCAGTTGCATGGCACTTCAGGTTTCTTGTCGATTTTCGGTCCGTCGTATCAAGATAGCACCGAACCATCCTCACGTTGGCCCCTTTGCACTTACAAACAGCCGTGGCACAGCGGAATTCATGAGCACGGCGGCCCTTGGCATCGTAGGTAATATCAGGGATGGGCTGGAAGAACGCGTAGACTGGTGAGGTCCACTCCTCAATCAGACGCTCTGGAAAGAATGGTCACAGTGAGTCGAAGCTTTTGACGATGGCCAACAGGATACTTACCAAGTTCTGCCTCGTCAGTCTCTTCAACCTCCCCTTCCTCATCCTCTTCGTCTTCCTCGTCACTGGCGTCAACATCTTCCAAACCAGGCATCTCTTCGTCATCAGAGCTACCACCCCATCCACCTGTCGCAACATCAGGCTCAACATCATCACTTCCATCAGCCGCCTCAAGGATACAGGATGCATTTCATGGTCGAAGACTAGTATTCACAGTGAGGTCGTTGTCTTGGTCATCGTCGTCGGCATCGGCATCCTGAATGGAAGGTTGGTGTTGTTGGCGTTCTGCAGCTATGGCCTCGAGCTTATGCTGTTTCACAGCAGCGACATCGATGTTATCGGTAGAAGCGAGACTCGCAGCAAGGACACGTTTACGAGCGCCAGGAGGTCTAGGTTCAGGAATGGGTTTACTGTGAGTGGGTGCCATTTGTTGGATAAAACTTTCTAACATTGGGGCTGTACTTATAGTACTTATTTTCAGTGTCTCTCTTTTGGTTACTGACTATCTCAAAGAGGAGAGTTGAAGGGGGTGCACGCATGGGGCTCTGGTGGTGGAATTTGGGTCAAGAACTCGTTGAAATACCTCCATAACTAGTGGAGTGCGAAGAAAACTGGGAGAGGGAGGAATGTTACTCAGTGTATTCAGCCATCTAGTCTCCTTCAGTAGCTCTGCGGTACTCCACCTCCATCTTTTTTCTAAATTGCAGTTACTGATACATCATGCCCGGCTGGGAGAAATTACTACTGTCTGCTACCCTGACCCTTCCAAAAAGCTGCAGGTAACCCCACACCCGTGTCGAGGGTAAGGGTTTGGTGAGGGTTCAGAAACCTTGACCTCTACCCGTACCCCACGAACCCTTACCCGCAAACCCGTGTGGGTTTATGAACCCTTGCACAACACTATCCAAGTATGGATGAAAACTGGTTAAATATTTTTTGAGATCTATGTTTTTGTCATGACAAAACATGTGCAGGGTTCGCGTCGCGTATTGAAAATTCAAGGGGTAGCATATATGTCAATCCAGTATTCCTCAATGAAGCGAAATGGATTGGCCAAGGAAGGACTTACCCAACATCTTGAAACCCCTCTCGAAAGTTGATCGTGTATTGTGACAGCCACCTGGAAATCCCGAAAGTTTGGGCAGAATTGCATTGAAGGCTGAAGCAGATGACAAAGACTAGTTGTACATAGCTTTCTATTGTTAAGTTGCCTCGAAATTGGGGCCCTGGCCATTGCTAGCATTGCCCGCGCAGCAGAATTTTTTTACGGTATATACTAAGCCTGATCTATTGTGCAGATAAAAATTGGACAAATCCTATGCCTGGTCCCTCATCTGGAGAAATATTGAGAAATTTCATCTGGAGGAAAATCCCAAAATTTGGTCATTTTGGGATCAGGCATTTGACCTGAAACTCATGGGTCCTGGTAGATGGTGATTCGGGTCAAGATGACGAAGATGACGCGGCTGAGGACGTCTCTAATCTATTTCCGTTGCCGGACTCCCCGACGACGTCGACGAGAAATACGTGGCGACAAGCGGCTTTTGGCCCTCTGGTCACTGCGGCGAGTGGTAAGGTAAGAACATTCAAAACACTCCTGAGCCGTGCATTGCGATTTTTCAAATGGAATAGAAATGCTGAGTAAAAAATGATTGAAATTCACGTGACCCTTCGAAGTTCACGTGACCTTTCCAAAAACCTCATAATTAAATTTCTTTCCTATAAACTAATATATAGCGTAGCCTACATTGTCGGCAGGGTACTGGTGTTTGTAGTTGCTACAGAAGAAAAGAAAAGAAAATAAAATAAAAAGAGGGAAAAAGCGAAAAAAAGAGGAATATTTCTTATCTTATCTTATCTTACAATCATGAGCTATAAACTACTGACCCATCTTTCCATCTCCACCTACAACTGGCCTACCAACCTTATTCTGACAGGGCCTTTGGATACCTGCTATCCCCCCCATCACAGTCTACTCTGTTGGGGATTTTCCAGTAAATTTTATCTGCCCTACTGCCCTCAAATTCTGGCCTAGAGCTAGTCTGCATTCAATCGCGCCCATCAAACCGTAGTAAAAAATTGATGCCCTTTATTCCCACGTTTGAGTCATGTGAGAGCGCTAAACAACGAGACGCGACGCGTCGGTTTGAATAGTAAAAGGCATCCGCAGCCATGTCCCACGATGAACTCCCCCAATATATGCCCAATACTGCTCTAATGTCATTTGAGACACCTCCTCGCCCATTTTACCCTCCGTGGGCTACTCCCAATGCAAATCCCGGTACACCCACCATCACAGGGACTGGATTTCAGACCTACCCAGCCTATCTTGCCACCCCCAGTCCTCAGAGCCACCAAACATCAGTTAAGCGGAGCCACAAGAGAAAAAATGATGAAAATTCGGGCCAGAGTGTAGCGAAGAAGGCACGGAACAGCCGAGGTCTGGGTCTGTTGTCAGACTCAACAACGTCAAACCTTCCACCCGAAATGGGTACGCCCGACGAAGTCAGTGACCCAGATGCAGACAAACTTGATTCCTTTTTCGCTTTTCTGCAAGGGACACTTAAGTGGACATTTGGTGAACTTCTTTATCACACAAGCAAAGGAAAATCTCCTGGTGCAAAACGGAAGCTTGGCCCTGATGGAAAGTCATTGGTAACTTCAAATCCGAAAGAAGTGAAACGAAATTCTTCCATTATCCAGCACTTTATGCATGGTCGTGGTACATATGGACCTGCTGATATCCTGAATAACTGGATGCAGCATCCATATGGGGCTGATGAGCGCCAGTCACATCTCATGTACTCCACCAGTGTACCTTACCTCGAAATAAGGCCAGTCCGCCCTGCCCTGACTGCATTCGCTGCACAGACAGTCAAGGCAAAGATAATTCATGAAGCTGAGAGTGCCGTTAAATTATCTAGTGGGCTACATGTCGCAGTAACACGCAAGCAGCAGACAAAGTCCTTGGAAATGAGGCTTGACTGGCCTGACATCGGTGCAGCTACCTTTGATAAAGTGCAGGGCATTATTCAAGAGAAGCAACCACTCACTTGGTCCTTGATCATGGAAGTAGCATCACGACCCCCTCGAGTTCAAAACGGTATTAAAATCATCCGTCAAAAACGGCCACCTCAGATTATCTCAACTCATATCATCAGCACACTCAATTTCTCTCGGTCATCCAGTGCCAATTTACTTCCACTTGCCACCGGGTTATTGTACTTTGCCTCCTCTGCAAGCTATGATCTTTTCCGCCATCATGCGCGTGTTGGTGATATGCCTGCCTATAGCACGATTATGAAAGCTATGTGCGTTCTTTCTGAACGTGAGGCAGAAAAAACACTTCAACATGGTGCCGATGCAGACTCCATTGGTGTTATACGTCTGGACAATGTTCAAAACTATCTCATCCAACGGAATCCTGCAATCGGGCGTGAAAACAAGCTCAACATTGGCCTTTCGGCGACATACTATGAGGTTGAGGGTATTGACCCTCATGTTTTTGACCTCTCTGCAAAACGTGATTGCCTTGCAGAGAACAAAAGAAAGGACCTTACGGTGAACAACTTTGTGAGCCTTGTTGATAGCCAGCACTTGGAGACAGTCGGTATCCTGCAGTGGATTAACACCCTTGTGCAGCACATTCCTGAACTCTCATTTATGAAGAAGCATGTCTCTATGCTCTACCGCACTCGAGCGGCGAAGCAGCGATTACCACCAAAGCAAACCAAAGTCCATCCTCTTGCATCAAGCAGCAGAAATGAGACGGTAGTCACTGACTTGAAAGAGGCACTGCTTGATTTTTTAGCACAGACAGGGCAGACGGCAGAAAGCTTCAAGAAGCGCCTCTTTCCAATTGGAGGTGATGGATTGACCTTCAACAAAATTTTAGATATTCAAGATTTTCTTCAATTCCACGAGAATGAGTTTGAGACCCTCAGGGTTCTCGACCCTCTTCTGGAATGGTGGCACTCATTGTGGACGGATTTGAGCCGCTTGTTTGGTTCTCACTGGGGTGGAGATCTATCAAAGGATCCCTCTACACTGAGCCACAGTGCTACGAAAATCGGACGCAAAAAGCCTTTGAATTTGAAGAAGGTTGACTACTTCCAACACTCACAACTGGCATACCTTGTTCTTGATGCCCGAATCTTGGATTGCTGGCGGTGAGTTCAAGCTTATAACCTTCATATTTATCAGACATTAAACTTACACGCTTAGACTCCACTATGGTCAAAAGAACCTGCAGCAATATTTCGAAGTGCTCGCAAAGAAATCTGAACTCCCTGCATTTGAAGACCTTGAGGTGGCTGCAAGAAACCTGTATCGAAAATACATGAGCTCGCGAGCTCAACAACGTGCCATGTTGGGATTATGCTCAACTTCCAATCCTTCATCCCCGCTCTCTGTTCCCATAGGAGCCCGCTGGACTGAGCCACGGCCTGCACCACCTCCACCAAAAAAGAAATCACAAAATCCACCTCCTTCACCTGAGGAATTTCTTGGAGATCAGGTTTTAGCACGCTCCATCGCCTTTATGCGTGAGACGATGATCTCCCGAGAAGCAATGTTAGCCTCTGCAGAAGGCAATGTTGGCCGTCTCTACGAAATGATTAAGGCCATGCTTTTTACCTTCGCTGGTTCACCTCATTCAAACTACACGGCTTATTTCCTTGAAATGATAACAAAGCTAGAATGGGAAAGTGGGCCGGAGCTCAAATCCGCACTTTTAGCGCTCTCACTCGTCAATTTAACAGGCTGCGAAGGCGGCTTTGCAGCGGGGGACACCATACAGGAATACTTCAATCGAATTCTTGAAGCTGTTGTGGGGCGTAAAGGTGTTGAGTATGGCAACAATTTTATCCGAAATGTCTGGTCAAGAAACTTACACCATGTTGCACGGCTGAAATCAACGTGGTTAGAGGGGGTTGGACTCGCACCACGTTCCAAAAAGCATACAAAGGCGAAGGCACTCGCTGAAATGCGAATATTAATGCAAGTCTATCAGGACACTGAATTACACACCTTTCGGGCTGGGCGTACCTTCGATGTAGATCTCTTTGTGGACGACTTCGAGTTGGGGCTGAAGAAACTTGGTGGAGGGGGAAAACTAAAAAATTGGATAAGCAAAACGACAAGATCCCGAGGTCTTCAAACCTCAAGGGATATATCTCCTCAGGCATTTGTTGACACAGAGGACGATAACAGCGAGGACAGCTTAGACGAAGAAGAAGAAGACCTAGACGTTGTCGTCGAAAACTCGGGAAACACATTCGGAATTGTTCACATCTCCGAAGGTGATTTAGTGTTTTTCCCCATTGATATGGACGCAGAGGCAGCAAAAGTGATCCAGGACATCGAGTCGACATCTGGAAATGAAACCGAGGACTCCGAGTCAGATGCAGATGTGATGGATACGGATGATGAGAATGGTGGAACAGAGAATTAGACTAGTATCACAATAATTCATGTACAAACCTAATAGCTTTCAGGTCGAGTCCTCCGACTCGACCCCATCTGAACTCCCTTCATCAGTGTTTAAAAGTAAACCAGCACCGACTTCTGCATTTTTTCCCGAAAGCGCGGCCTTTTTGGCATCTCGTTTCGCTTTACCAACCTCCTTCTTTTTCTGGCGAATCTCGTCAAACCGTTCGTGTATCTCAAGAATTGTTTTGAGAAGGTGCGGTGCTGCACCAGCCAGGAAAATGTTGTCCGTTACGAATGGTTGGAGAAGGGTATGACACGCGTCAGAAAGGAAGGAGTTGTCGTTGGTCTGGATGGCGAGCAGGGTGGTTTTACTGAGTAAATAGGGAAGCACGTCCAAGATGTTTTCCATCACTGAATCAGGGAGATAGGCCTCGAGTGGAAGCATGCCCGTCATGGTTTCATCAGCCTCTAACCAAAGATCCTGTCGAAAGCGCTTGAGAATCGCGAGGCCCGCCGGGCGCATGTCCTTCGTAACACGAAGATTGAGGGGTAATGTCTTCTTTTTGACGGCTGGATTCGTTGTGGCACTCTCATGCTCAGGTGCACAACCACTGCAGTCACAAGGCTTTTCGGGCGTAAGAATAGGGATGATTTGAGCGCACGTTGTGCACTCCGGTCCGCATTTCGGGTCTTCAACGGGGTTGTTGTACTCATCGTTGATGGCGCGCGGGGTGCATTTCGAAGTGATGACACGGGCAAGACCCGGGTCAATGTCTGAGTTGTCGTCGTTCCCAGATGGATGTTTTCTCTTCTTCGAGCGTGAGGTACCCTTTTTCGAGGCCATGGAAGCAAGATGGGGGAGCGACTGCATGCGCACGAACTCTTGGGCAGCAGTCATTTTGCTGACAGGAATGTAGACGATAACTTTGGGTGACTTTACCTGGGTTTTGTCCCTCCCAACTCTCCCAGCCTTTTGCCAGAGATCGTCAAGGTCTTTTGGGTCTATGATGACCACCGTTTCAAAGTTGCGAATGTCGACGCCGACCGATAACTTGTCTGTAGCGATTGTGATCCTCGCGCCGGTGTTGTCTTGTAGAAGTTGGAAGGTTTTGGTGTTGTATGCAGGGGAGTTCAACGAGTTGAATAAGCGGATGGTGTTGTGAAGAATCGCGTCGTTGGGATCAAGATGCCATAGATAGACGGCAAGTCGAAAGCCAACACGGATTGAAGTGCAGAAAATGAGGACGTTCCCTTTCGCACGTAGAACCCAGTCTAATTGGGGAAAGTGTTCTGTGTTTGCATTCGCGCGGATTGTGCGGATCGAGATTTGGACATCGGGACGGGCGTTTGAGCGCTGGATGAGGTGAATCTTCTCGTTATCAAGCCCGAGGAATTTCAGAACACTTTCAGTATGTCTTCCTTTTCGTAGAGTTGCTGTCAGGCCCATAAGAATTGTGTCCATCGGAAAGCGCGCACGAATATACCCGATTTGTAGAAACATGGGTCGGAAACCAGCCCCCCATGTATTTAGAAGGTGAATTTCATCAATGATGAGTCCAAACAAACGTTGTTTAAATACTTTCTCTTGTAGTAGGTTTTCGAAACCCGGCGTCGAGAGCATTTCCGGTGACACCAGCAGGACAGACACCTGCGCTTGGACTTGTCTCCAAATATTGACGCCCTCTTTTTCCGCCATCATCTTGGTGACAGCATTGATGGCCCTAGCTTCGATCTTGAATGCTTTCATTTTAGTTTCCTGAGAACTAAGTTACCACCCCAACTGATAATTGAACAGACTATGAACGTACAAGGTCTTCTTCGAGTGCAGTTGTAGGACAAACAACGATGAGAACGGGATCCCTAGAAAACACAGTCTTTGACGGAGACAAGGAAGGATCTTTGCCCAGAGTGACCAAAACCGTTGCGAGCATGTAAATGTAGGCCGATTTCCCAGATCCTGTCGCTGAGATGGCGATTACGTCTTGCCCGTCCAAAGCGTGTGTGATGCCATCTAGTTGATAGTCATGGGGTCCAAAGGGGAGCTTTTCTTGTATAATTCTGCGGCATATCCTCCATCCCAAAGGGCTGCTAAATTTGAATGGTTCCTTTGCAGGGTTTTGAGCCATAGAACGCGCCTGATCTCCCCGATAACGCGTTGAAAATATTCAGCAGTATCACTAATTAGCGAACATGACGCGGTCGTGGGAACTACACGTGATTAGTTTATTTTACTACGGTTTGATGGGCGCGACTAAAAGCAGACTCCATATGAGGGAGATCGACTGTCATCACCATCATCATAGGAGTTGCCTACGGGAGACTAGCCTAGAGCATCATTTCCTGCTCTGATTCTCTTTCAAGGTAATTAGGGAGCTGAAATTTCTAGGACATCTTGTGCAGGCCTTTTATTAGCTAATTAAACTGTATTTTGTAATGGGCTAGCAGTGATATTGTGTGGGCTGAATTAATCCTCTCCTGTGATGGTTCAGGAAAATGACTATCCACATCCAAATGATAAAGCCCTGGATTACTTTAAAAAATTTGGGTGGGAGCAATTGATCCTTTGCTTGATGGGCTGTATGTGAAGCACCTCCATTTTGATGTTCACAGGCCATACTACAGAATATATTTTGTAGAAGATATCATTTTCATTTCCCTTTGCATGATTACAATTCTGTACAATTACAGCTTTTTTTTGCAGTCAGGATCTCCTGATTAATGCTAGATACTCACACATAAGCTTTAAAAACAACTGTTTCTCTGCAACAGTAGGATGGACATAACAGCATATTTTGTACCTTGACACAATCCCAAGTATCAGTTCCATTTTTTTTACCCAAGGCTCAGGCATCAATAGTTGTTGCATAGCTGACTTGAATCTAATTTCTTCGGGAATGGGAAGAATCCCAGAAACCTCTTTTGTTTAGGCATACATTGAATGATTTACCTATCCTCTGATTTCAAATGACTGTGGCACTTCATCTCACATTTTTTCAGCTAATATTCAAAGCTGATCAATTATCCAAATGTCAAATTGACCATCACATTCTTTCCCTGTTGAATTTCTTGTCCCAACAGTTATATTGTGATGTAGTTGAAAATTGAACAGTAAAATACATAGAAATTTTGTAATAGCTTATATTTGCGCAATAATCTCAATGTATCTTCTGTTTTACATGATGTAAAAATGTGGTGGAAGGCCGCAGAGAGGGCAAAAGTATACGAGCAAGAGAGATTACACAGCCACTTGCTATCACATAAGCGTGCTATAACATAAGCGTGCTATAACATAAGCGTGCTATAACATAAGCATAGCTCTCACATAAGCGTAGCTATCACATAAGCGTAGCTATTATGTAATAGCAACTACAAACACCAGTAGTTTGCCACATTGTCGTTACTGCATTCCACACATTTATAATCTGTAAAACAAAATCAAATCAGGAGGCAGCAGAAAGGCATCTGAACACAGTCTGAACATCAAAAGTATGAGGAGTCCGAAAAATATAACTGCGGGTACTCAAAGCAATAAAACTAAAAGAACAGAGTTTCCCCAATATCACACACCGTGAATGCGTCATCGTCAATTCCAAGCTTCTTGCACTCTTCTGCAAGACGTTTGGGCGGTTCGAGGACGTCCTCGCTCGTCAAAACCCATGTCCTGTGGTGAACTAAGCAAAACTGGAGACACGAAGCTGCTAGACGACTTACGCCCAATGCATACCCACAGCTCTCTTCGCCTTGATGTCTTGAAAAAGCCGTACACTATCCTGCGGTGCACAATGGATGGGGGACATGAATTGACGAGGGAGGTATGCGCTTGAATACACGCATGAGCCCCGATGTACTCCCAAAAAGATGGTATTCTACGTACCCAATAGGTATCAGCGCACAATCAAATCCACCAAACCGGTCCCCAATCTGCTTAAATGCAGGACAAACCGGAACCTGGTCCTCATCTTCTCCATCGTTGACAGCGCGGTAGCCAGTGTCCCCAGCAAAGAACACCTTGACGGGAGGACGTGAGGATGAGGTCGTGTCCTGGACGACTTCTTCGATCGTCCAACTTCCCCACAAGGTCTTAAAGTTGTCAAAGATTGAACGGCCAGTAAAGTGCTGGCCTGGTGTGCAGGTGATGTCGACGGCGCTCGGTTGGTCATCTTTGCCAGCGACAGAGACTTCGACGCGTTTGGAGTCCCACCAATCCATGATGTGCGTGTGAGATGCTGCTACGCCCAGATCCTTGAAGTACGGCCCGTTTCCGAGAGGTGCGAAGATGTGGGGAGAGCGTGACGGCGAGCGGGCGAGGAGGGTGCGGATTGTATGCGTGTCAAGGCTTGAATCATGTCAGTTTTGATCAGAGCAAAATTACATCAACGCACTGGTCGTAGTGATTATGCTGAAATAGAATTTATGAAACGCAAGCACTTCGAATAACTGTGGATCTTACGGATATTACGATAGCATCAACTTCAGGGATATCTTCAATCTTACAAGGGGGCGCTGTATTTATGCTGGAGTCAGATCACCCACAAAACCCAATATCAAACCAACAACATACGTGTGTATCGCTTGGGACCTATCCACTGACTAGGAGAACAGCGGTCGCTAAAAACGGGGTCGAAAAGTATGCGAACACCCCTGTCACCTACACGGGCGGGGAACTCGACAAAGAAGCAAGCGTGGCCAAGCCAGGTAACCTTAATCTTCTCGTTGAAGTATGAATCTTCAACGAATTTACCCCCATCCCCGCTCGACCGCCCCCAAGTAGGCGTTCGGATTGGGAAGAGAGTGGCTGGATCCTTAGGATGCGATGGGAAGTTTCGGGCCGCGTTAACCAACTAAAAGTGAGTATTATTCATAAGCAGCGATAATATTCGAGAAAGAAAACTAAAAACGCACAGAAAGCCGATCTGAGATGGTATGAGATCGCCAGCTGTCCCATGGGTTCTGAAATGCGCAACCAGTTGCATTTACCCAGTGAGCTGGTGTGGCATTCTCTTGGACTGGATTTGGGTTCTTGCTTGCGTTGTTGGAGACATGTAGTTTGTTGGTCGAAGAATCGGACATTGTTGTAGTACGAGTGAGAGAGCGCTGTGTTTGCTTGAGCATTATAATTGAATGCTTGCGCGTCCACCGGCCGAATGCGCCAAACATATCCAAATTAATGTCGGCTTCTTCGGCACCTATCTTTGCAGACTGCGTTGAGTGATTCGTGTTGGATTCGTGAACACTTAAGTTCAAGTTGACTTCAAGTTTGTACTGTCTACTCAAGTAACGTTTAACACAATTATTTACAGCGCACGGCAAGCGAGAAATTTGTACGGCCACGTAAGTAACAAGTAAGTAGGAGTTGAGTAGGAGAGGTCGTTTATGGAATGGGTGATTTCGAGAACATTGGCAGTGTGGTGACTAGGCGAAGACGGAGACTAAGAAGACGCGATTGGTTAAAATCAAAGAAAGTAGAAAGGACGACGGACGCTGCCAAAAAAAAAATGTTACAAAGACATGATTTATTGGCGAGAGCAACTCACAAACGACAAGGTAGTCAGGGAACAGGACCATTCACTTGAACGGGCAATTCTCGCTGTGACTGCCCCTATAGCCACAATGGCAGCACTGCGGAGAGGAATAATTGAGCGGAGTGCTCAATTCTAACTCTTCTTTCGATCTGTGGTGTAAGATAGGCGTGGCGTCAGGATTAAAAGGGATGGGGATGGACTGTAGGGAACGTACGGAGCGGCGGAGGCATATATGATGGTGTGTTCCATTGAGGTGGGCAGGTAATAATTTCAAAGGGTCTCTGGTGGGTAGGTCGTCAGCGACCGAGTGCTTTATAGCTTTTTGTATTGAGCCCCTGCTTAAGGAAAGTTCCCGTGAGGGGGTCATGCGGCGGCGAATGCTGTTTAAAAAAATTCGTCGGCCTTTGAAAACAATGGTTCTCACGTAATTACTAGTCATGCCATACAGGGGCTTTGTGGGTTAGGGTGTGACGGTATTATGTAGCTGAATTTGTGGGCGTAATGACTCGTTACAAAGACTCGATTAATTTGACAAAATAGGTCATGGCGCGAGTAGAACTTGCAACCCCTATCCTCGAGCCCCAAAGCCACTGCTGTGGCTTGACAACGATTGCGGAAAGCCAAGTACACAAAAAGGTGTATTTGCTCCCTGACCTCCCTCTTCTGTTTCCGTTGTGTTTGAACATTCAACTTTGCAGGTGGATTGCAATTGTAATGTCTGGAGTATGTGAATTGAGACGATACGACGTGCATCAAAATTTTGTTACTTGTATAAGAGGCTTGCCATTATATCGATCTAAAAAGTGTGATAGCCCTCACCTGTGTAACGATGCCAGCGGGACAATTATATGAGAACAGAATTGACAAAAATTGACGTACATTTGTTCAGCATTTTCTTCCCAATTTAGAATTAAATTTTAGTGACTCTTGTGGAAGGATTATTATATGTACCTACCAACGAGGCGCCTGTGCAAGGTGAAAGATCGAGAGATGATTCTCCTGATGGTCTCCATAAGGTAATACGGCTGTACCGGCAGTCGCCGGCCTGACGTCGGTCGTAAAAATTCGTCTTTCAACACAATATGACTCTACACCTGGCACTGCGAGGCCCAATCATGTATCCAAACCTGTGTCCTACCCCAACTGGGTCCAGCAATCTATCCATTTAAAAACGCTATACCAGGGATAATAATGTTCGACAGCGGTTAAAGTACAGCGCCCGGTGACATCACTACGGAGTGGCATTGGCAACGTGGGCGCAGTGTGGATTTTATACAGCATATAGTGCTGAGAACCTTCTACATCATAAATACCGCCAAAAAGCGCGGAAAGTAGTCGGTTCAGGCTCTGAGAGGATAACTCAAGACGGTTGGCGCAAATGGTAGATCATCACAAGCACAACATCATTGGACGGCAGCACAGCAGTTTATCAGGTGAAACTGCCTGCTCCTCAAGAAACTTGGACCCGGACAGTCAAGAGTTCGGATTTACAGAACGATTACTGCAATCAGCTCAAATCGCGGTTCGAAGTACTTTCGGGTAGCTTTCCCACTACTTAATTGCCCAACGCCACACTCACTCAATGACCTTCTCTCAGTCAGGAAGATTCCGATGAAGCCAGAATCTATTGGCGGAATCTGTCTAAACAAGCACAAGATAGGTTCTTGTCAGCCGCTTCGAAAGGCTTACATCTGGATTTGAGGACGACACACGAATTTCTGGTCCTCTTCATCTCAAGCAAACTTCGTGAGCTTCTTGTTCGCGAGGCTTTCGAACCGACACCTGAGCACTAGGAGGTTGACGCCTAATATCACATACCTCAACCAAACCCGGGAGAACGACAGAACATTGACAGAACAGACCCAGCGGATAGACCCCAAGGATTTTTGAATACGAATCACTCGCTCACGATCTCGGATGCTCTGGGAATAGCAAGTCCATCTCAACTCACACGACTTAGCCTCGTTATAATGAGAAGCTACTGTACCTGTTGCGCATAATGTCAAGTAATTATTCAATAATAATGAATCATATCCCGTTTCATACACGACACATAAGAAAGATAGTTGATAATCAAGAACATAAGAGGGCATACGAAGATAACAGATCATGGAGGGAGACGAGAAAGCGCGCATATGTAAAACATTGAAAATGGAATAGGATGGGGAGAAGATGCGGGAATGGATTCAGTTAGGGAAATATCCAAGAACATCACGACAACGCCAAAATCCAATGTTATCCACTCCACCCAGATCCAGTCTGCTTCACCTGTAACCATTCTTCTTGCACACAATTTCATGCACACGGTACGATTCCGATAGACTTGCAGAGGAAAAGAAGAATGTCGGCATGATGACGACGATGAGCCGCTGATACCGCGGGCTTGGGGGCCCGAGCAGTTGCATCGCCTCTAGTCAGTCTTTGCAAATTGTTGACGGGGGACTGGAGAATAGGGTGTCAGAGACGTTTAAGCGCTGGGGAAGAATGCGCGCCTTGATAGAACATCTCACGGATCAGGGTCCAATTTCTCCCCACGAGCGAGGACGCGGACGACCTTGCTTGGCTGCGCCACCATCTCCATCATGGCCATCACGGCGGGTGGGCGTTCGACGAGTCCGACCTTCTGGCCACTTGGGCCGTTGTAATCTGTAGCCGATGGTCTACGTCCTCTTCCATGTGGGCGCTTGGGTCGATCGTCGTCCTCAGCGCCGCGGCCAGGGAGGGTAGGCTCAATTGGAAGCACGGTAATACCGGCCTTTGCAGCCCATTGGGAGACGAGGACTCCCGCCGAGCGAGGTTCGTGCTTGTGAGAGGCAGGGAGAACGGGAGCTGGTAGAGGAACAGGGGTGAGTGGGGATTCGGAACCGTCCGCGAGCTTGAGCGGGACGGTCTGTGGCGAGAGGTTGAGGGATGAAGCCAAGACGGCAAGGACAACCTTGGGGTGGGGGATAGATTTACGGGTAGGGTCGTTCTTCAACTCCTCGTCAGCGTGGTCGAGCTCCCAGCGGGCACAGCAAATGGTCCTTCGTACCCATTCAGGAGAGCCGCTGCTGCTTGTCGTATCCTGAAATCCAATTTTATCCCATAGAACGAAGGCATCGTCCCGTTGGACTCGGATACGGGGGTTGGTTCCGACTTGAGCTTCGAGAATGCGTGAGGCTGCACGAGCTCGTTGGGCAAGGGCGGTGGTCCCCTTCTTCAGCAGATCGAGGGTGTTGAGAGCTTAAAAAGGTCGATTATCGAGGGGCGAAGGTAAAAAAAAGGCAATACTCACCCTCAAGAGGAACAATGACGATCTCTTCCCTGCCATCCCTGCACCACTTCTTCACCTGATACAGAGCGTTGACAAGAACACTAGCATCAACGACCACGACGTCCGCATCCTTTCTTTCCTCCTCCCCTGACCTTTTTCTCGCAGTCGGGCTGATGTTCGTAGTCCGATCGACCGGCGTCTCTCCACCCTTCTTCCTCTGTGCCACCGGATTCGGACCGCGCTTCGTAGCAGTAGCACCCGGCGATCCAGGTGAGTAGGTACGTTCGTGGGCTTGACGCCTGTCTCTCCAGTTCCCCGAGGCAGGTCCGTTATTTGAAACGGTCTTCTCGAGTTGTTCAACCTGGTGGTTTAGGAAGGCGGCTCCAAGAGCTCGAGACATGGCTAGTTTACAAGCGTTGGGGACCTGTAAACAGTTAGTTCCACGTTTACTGTTAACATATGTCGACCAACCTTCTTTTCTGACATTTTTTTAGGGTCTCCTTGTCGATGTTGGGTATTTAGGAGGGCTGTGGGAGGAATCATGGCTGTACTGCCGCTGAGTCAGCCTCCACTACCTCTTTTGGCGAATCACGTGTATGTAATTACTCAAAGAGCAAAAGTTGAAGAAAAGAGCAAGGAAAAGAGAAAAACTCACGAACGTTGAGAAATCGACAGAATGACAGTACAATAGATAGATATAGCTGATTTGTATCCGGCGATACGGAGGAAGAGAGCACGCTCCACAGGCGATATAAATATAGAAACAAAACAAGATGCATTTGTTGAACAACTCAAATTGAAAGTACATGACCAGTTGCCTAGATACGTACAAAAAGTATATGACAGGGGGAGAACAATGTTTGTTATTTGGTTGAGAAGGCTGAGAGAATAAGAAGGACGAAGGAACAAGGGAACACAAACACAGGGTGAGAGCAAATGATGACAATAACGTGCAGAACAAACTGTGGGAACAATGTAAAGGGGATGAGGAAAAGAGACATAGAGTGGATGATGGTTAGAATTGCTGTGGATACATTGAGAATGACACATTTAGAGAAAGGAAAGTACATCATTGAAAAATCTACTTATCATTCAACTTCCCATATGAATGAATGGAATCCACCTTTCAAAAGGGGCTCCAGCATCCTTCAGGCTCTGAACTGCAAAATGCAATGCCTCTGCAGTTGCATGAACATCAAGGACTTTCTTTTTCTCCATGATGTTTCAGTAAACAAGTTCTGCAACCTTTGGGCCATCTGAGTCTTCCATATTCCAAAGGGTCCCAATTGTAGCTTGACATCCAGCTACAATGAAACCTCCTGCCAAATGGAGGGATTCATTTGGTAGATCAGAACTACCCATGGCTGTTTGACATGCAGAAAGAAATGCAAACTGGGCTCTTGGAAGATCTTTGGCAAGGATTTGATTAAGATTAAGGTTGCATCATAGAGGTTCAGGCAGCCGTTCAATGGCTTGCTAATATCCTGCTCCCCATGACATGCAATATGCAACCACTCATGATTCCCCATTGTCTCCAGAACATTGGAAACTGTAGCTTCAGCATCACTGAGAATATTAGCTGATGCTATCACCTCCTTGATGGAGTTGAGCTCTTTGGTAACAGATGGAAGCTTTAAGTATGGCTTTCCAGGTATATCTGTTATTCCAATTGTTGCCAATGAAATTGAATTTGTAGTAGTAGCTTTGGGAGTCCTGGCTTCAATCGATGCATTCAGGGTTGGGGTATATGATTGAATAAACAAGCTATTCGATGCAGCTGCATGAATGGGGAGAAATGTGAATGGACCAGAGGGGCAACACCACATTCTTCCAGAATGAATGCCATTCTATTGATGATTTAGTTGGAGGCTGATTATTACAAAAAATTGTTACTTACTGATTCCAATACATCAAGCACCAGTTTCACAATTGCCTTCCATAACCAGCTGAGAAGTTCTCTGAAATACTTCAGTGACAAATCAGCTGACCTTGAATGGCTTGGTCTTCCAGATCTTTCCTTCTCAGGCCTGTTGATCTCTCTTGCAGAGATATTGTGGAATCCTAAAGCTTTCTTTAATTTTTCACAATAATCTTGCAGATTTGCAATAGTAGCATCAGGCAAAGGAACTGGTAGAGCACTTACAGAAGACTCACATGTAGAAGGTAGTAGAATAATTGCATCACTATCTTCAGGTGAGGCATTTAAGAGCACCACTGGCCCATACTTTGCTGCTTTAGATAATTCTTTGTATAATTTTGGCAAGAAAAATTCTCAAAGCCTGGCAAGGTTCTGATTTTATGCATGAGATCTTTTTGTCTGATCACCAGTGAATGATAATCTTGTTTGATTGTTCTTTTAGGGTCACTAATTTCTTGGAGTTTCATAGAGATCTGCTTAAGCTCCAATCCTATTTCAGGGTATTTTTTTATCAATTGTGTAGGTTCATCTCTCAGTTCAAGCATTTGCTGATAAGTAATAGCCAAACCCTGCTCTATAAGTTCAACAGCATGTTTGACATCATTGAACTTTAGAGCAGCTGCTACAGCAGAGGAAACCAGACCTGAAATGTTCAATTTAACTAGAGAATTGTAACGATCTCCTAAAGAGTTTCCAATCCACAAAATATTTGGCAGTGTAGCCAAGGCAAAAGAGTATGCAGTTAATGTTTCATTCAGGTTGAGGATTGTAGCAAATTCTGCCCAATCCAAAGCTGCCTCTAAGCATCCTTTAGGTGTTGCAAAGGATGAAGTAAGAGAAGCTCTATAGTAATACAATGCACAGTATGCATCTTCAACAGCTGAGACCTCTTGAGAAACTGAAACATTATTGGGAGCTTGTGAATGAATACAAATGATTGAAAATGATTTGTCTATGAGGTGATATAGCATGGGCAGAATGGATTCATCTGTTCTGGCATGGTTGATTGCAATGGCACACACCTTAATACAGGTATATATCCAATCAATTTTCCCATCAACCATCCATAGTTTGCCTAACATAACAGCAAGTGTATGGTGATAGACAGGAGAATCCAGATCAGTCTCATGGGCCATTTCAAGACACTTTTCCATCAGAGGTATTGCAGCTTCAAGATGAGTAATATCTTTTGTATATTCAAAGTAGGCAAGATGAAGAAAAGCAAGATCATGCAGCAGTTTTGGTTGTGAAGGATTAGTTTCCCCAACAGCATCCAGAGCCTCCCTTTCGAGTTTCATTGCAGAATCAAGATCAGCTACTTCATTTTGGAGTTTAAACTTGTCATGAAGAAGACTGGAAAGAATACTTTTTGCTGTAGAAATATCTTGATGGTTAGTACTCATGTGCTGAAGCAACTGCATGGAGTACTGGATAGCAAGGTCAAGGTCATCATGATCATGCAATCTTTTATATCTTGATGCATAGCAATTGGCAATATTGTGTTCACAATGAGAGAGCTCCATGCTAGTAGGTGATATGAAAGCCACAGCCAGTTTATATTGATCTAATGCTAGAGATATGTAGTGAAGGTCTCCAAATTGGTCAAAGTAAAGCAGGTAGGCAGCAGCAAGGGAATCATGAAATCCATACAGCAGGGGGTCAGTGGGCTGGATAGCTCCAAGTGCCTGCTTCAAATGATCCTGAGCCTGTTTTAGGTCCTCAATATTTCCTTCATTCCTGTATCTTTGGAGATAAGCCAGGGCTAGATTTTTCTGAGAATGTGGAATTTTCTCATCTCCAGCTGGTAGAGATTTGACTGAGAATTCTAGATACCGAAGAGCAAGTTTGACATTTTCATCCCCTCCTCTAGTCTTATACTTGTACATCAAAGCAACTCCCAGATCCCCAAGCAGGGTGGCATAAATAGGTTCCTCAGTAGGAGCCTGAAGAATAGCCTCTCGTACATACTTGATTGAAAGCTCAAGATCCTCAAAAGAACTGAAGGATTTATACCACTCCCCATAAGCAGCTGCCAGACTCTGCATGTAAGTGATATGCTCCGTAGTTCCAGGAGAAGTTGCTTGAACTGCTAATTTTCTGAGTGAAATTGCAGTCTCAAAATCTTCCTTACTCCCTTTGATTCTGAATCTATTGATATACAGTACACTCAAAGTTCTCCAAGCCTCAGGAAGATCAGGATGGTCTCGCAATGAAGCTCTGACTGCTCCCTGAAGAACTTCAATGCCTTTGTTGAGATCTTCCACCTCCCCAAGCCTATCAAAACGGGAACAGTAGGACTGGGCCAGGCCCTCAAAAAACTTGACAAAACCAGGATGACCAGAGGATATCATTTCCAATGCAGAACTATCAAAGTTTATAGCCAGTTCTAGATCATCCATATTTTTCTCATGCTTATAGTGCTCAAAGTATAACACAGCAAGGTTCTGATACCAGATAGGAAGATCAGGGCTGTCAGAATGACAGTCATCAATAGCAAGCTGTAACCAATGAATGGACAAGTTCAGGCAGGTGAAGAGTCCAGTGCCCTTGTAGAAAAGGTTATAAGCAACCGCCAGAGAATGTTGTCGCCGCGGAAGATCAGGGTGTTTATCATCCGCACCATCAATAGCAGCCTGGAAGTGAACAATAGCCTTTTGTATTGCTGAAACGTCAGAAACAGCCATAAAACGCAAGTAGTAGAGCCAGCCCAGAGTCTCTTGCGCCGCCCCAAAGGGCTCTTTGGTTTGGTATTCCTTGGCAATTTCTTCGAGAATGCCTGGGTCTGCAGCCCTTGCGCCGGCCTAGAGGAGCCCAGTCAGGTGGGATCCGAGGGATCTAAGACTGGTGTACGCACCGCGTGATCCGAAGGAATTGCAATCTTCGACTCTTCGCCCCTCTGCACTTCTGTTTCCCCATCGATCTGCTTCACTTCGACTTCAGCTTGGGACGACGACATGCTGTTGATGATGTTGTCAGCGGTCATGCAGTCATGGCTGATTGAAAAGCGTTATTGGTTGGAATGTGACGTACCTTTGAATTGAGATTGGATAGCTTTGAGATGACAACGATTGTTGTGGTAGAAAACAAGTGAAGATGTACATGTGGTTGGCGCATTTCCTCATCAAAATGCCACGCTTGTAAGTCAAGCTACTTTAACCCATAAATTATGGGTAAAACCCGCATTGCCTTATAAGCATGGAGAAACCACTCTTGAAAGGAAGAAATGGCCTTATGAGGTGACTATAAGGCCAAAATACCATTATAAACTAATCCCATTTTTTGGCCGTATAAGAATAGTCTAAGCCAAGTCTAAGCAGTCGGAAAAATCAGTCATCAGTCATGTCAGGTTGATGAGTAAGATTCTTCCAACGAAGGCTGGGAAAAGCAAAGGACTCAAATCTATACGAGTAAACTACTCTACGACGGCAAACAAGTCCAGATGTTGCATTGAAAGCAACGACTCCGAAGAGATATGTGAAGGAAGAGCACAGCACAACGGCACTATGTACATTACGAGCAGTTCCGACTTGCCATCTCAACAGAATAGAATGAATACAAGATTGTGGATCTGGCATCCGCATGAAGGTGAGGTTGCACAAGCAAACGATTGAGGTGTGACGACAGTGAGGGGGGGTTTTATACTGTAGATAACAACCTGAAACGTCAAATCATCCCCATTCCAAGCTGACAACGGCGGAGCGAGTCTCCGACTGAAGGAATGACAGGTAACGGCAACGTCGAGTTGCTGTAACGCGCAGGAAGAAGATTGGGAGGAGTGACGATGATGAAGCTGTCAATAGCTGGCAAGAAACCATGCGAGGGTGTTGTGACGACGATATGTCAGAGCCCCTCTGCTATCGAATCAGCAGAATGGAAGAGGACCTAAGATGATAGTTCCACGGGGACCGCCAACTGACCAAGGACGGGTAAGTCGCAGGAATGGAAACAAGGAGAACCGACAAGGCGAACTTGGGTGAGTCCAACTTTGCGAGTTAAACTTGCTGAGCAGAGTGTTCCATCGTCCACACATTCTCACACATTCTCATAACGAGTGGGTTGGAGTTACCGACCAGTTCAATACCTCAGAACAACAAGCATGGGAGAGTGCCAGGAAGGACAACCGACGATGAGCGGCATCGGGAATATGCCAGGTTGAAAAAAAAGGATGCGAAGCTGGAAAACAAGTCGAAGGACGTGAATTCGAACGTGAGCGAACAACAAGAACAGACAAGCGAAGATGAGTAGAGTCTTCAAGTTTCCGCCGCCAGCCCATAACAATGGCGACGATGGAGTGACTGACACCAAAGAGTGCCAGGTGGAGGGATGATACGAGTTGTCGTCCTTAGTTTCGCGATGAGCTGTAGGAGATGGAGCCCTGTTGAGTGAAGGATGAGACGGGGCTAGGTGGGACGATCATGATGACGGACATCATGGTAAACGACTGGGATACCACCAACATCTGACGGCGACTGTAGGCACGGAATTCTATGGGCAGAGAACAAGAGAAGGAAGGGCATAGGAACGTGAGAGAGGGGAAGGAAAGAAGGCGCTCGTGACCACAACAGAACCACAGGGATTCAACCCACGAACGAGGAAGAGTCCAATGCCCAAAGCGCGACACCGGAGGTATGGGAACAAGGAATGTTCAACGTTCAACGCTTATCTATCAAATTCCACCAGACACAGCCTGTCCATCCTCCTCCCATGCGTGTCGTTCCTAAGCGAAGACACTCCCCCCCTCCCTTTCCCCAGATCCCATTACCGCCTTCGCTCCACCGAGACGCGTTGACCACTCTGGAACAATCCAAGGGTGGGCCAGGGTCGACTTCACCGCCCTCCGCTTTGAGCTTGCACTTGTCTCCGGTTTTGAAATCCTCAGCTGCACATGCTGGGAAACAGACGTGGTCGCAGAGGGACTTTGAAGCTGTCATGGACCTAACCGCATTATCTATGAGCGAGAGCGCAAAGGCAAGTTACGTTTTGCAAGTGTATACGATCTGGATTCCACCCGTGAATACGGAAGAAAAGCGATCATGACGTTGACAACAGGCAAGAGGATCATCACGTCCACAACAGATGGAGGGGAGGAGGATGGAATAACGGAGCTGTCCAACGAGCAGCCTCAACGGAGGATGCTAAAAGACAATGAAAAGTCGACGATGATGGACATGGTTCTCTGCTCCCGTCAGTGCCACCCAAGAGCGGAAAGTTGAAGTGTCGCCTTGAAGAGGTTAAAGCTTGAAGGTGAGATGGTAGGTGGATGTGGATCGATAAGCGACGCCAAAACGCGCAGGATCTAGGGTATTGATGCGCGAATGGTGGAGAAGCCACAGGAAAGGGAGGGAGGGCCACGTTGCATAGAAGGGCAAGACGGAAGTGGAATTGGCAGGAAGGGGACGGCCCAAGGGAGTGGAAGAGAGAGAGAGAAGAATTGAAGAGAAACAGGGAGAGGGAAACGTGGTGGGAAGAATGCAAGGGAAGCACGGAAGGGAAGGATCCTAGTGAGTAGGGAGGGAAGAGGAAGAGAGGATCCAAACCGCGGAGCCACATATCCAGCTCAGCGGCACTCGACCCAGCACAAAACACTCCCCAACCTCAATCCATCATGCCCTCTCATCGTTGTCATCCAAATCCCATAACGTTGATATCCCCACCCATTCCAATTATTCCGCCGCTTTCATCCGCTGCGGGCTGCCCATCCGGGAATCCGCGACACCCATGAACGAGAACTTTTGGAGGTCGGGAGGAATGAGGAGGGGAACTAAAATGGTGTCCAGGACACAAAGGAGAATGCGGAGTATATGAGCGAATCGAGGTTGAGAAGGGTGTGGGGCGGATGGGAGTTCCAACGTCAAAGGTAGACCAGGGATTCAAGACGCGGCTGAACGTTAAACGTTGGACGTTTTAACGGCGACAAGGGACGAGCATATGCATCTAATTCAAGGAGCGAGAGAGGCGGGTAAGTTCCAAAGGACGGCGTGGGCACCCAAGTAGAGCATTAGTGAACATTGTATGGAATAAGAGAGTAACGTGGTGTGTTCGTGTCGTTGGGGATTCCATAGAAACTTGGGCCCAAGGTCAGACCAGTCACTGGCAGGCTGGAATGGCAGCTACATAGGTAAGTTGAAGGCAACGATACATCACTAGAGGGGACCCGACGTAAAGGACGAAAGCATCTGACACTGATGATTCCAAGGGCCGAAAGAAGGGTGTGCACTGGGGAGAAGCAGAGAAAGCCATGCCATAGTCGCGTCGCAAACGGTGCAGCAAATTGGAATTGCTTCACGTGACGATTTTGTCGTTTGTCACGTGTTCTCCTGCTTCAAACCACAAACCATCAAGTCTGCCAGATCGTCACCGATGCCGAGCTTTCTTTCAACTCAGCTCATGAGAATGATAGGTACGAGATATCAGTCATCTCAATTTTGACTTTCCTACGTTCGTTTGACCTAAACCATGCGACTTTCAATATCTTCAACCATCTCCGCTGCCAATCCGCTGCTGCATTGTTTAATTCATGTGCCACTCACCCTCCAGCGACACTCATGAACATTTTTTTGACGCACAAAAACTGGGCTCGACTCCCCACAGAGAATGTTACTTTTTCTCCATATGCCCTCTGTAATAAACGGCTATCACTCACAAGCGCTCCTTCTATTCCATTCATGATCAAAATCCCAACAAAGACTACCGCCTATAATCCCTCTGTTAGTATATTAGTGAGTGCACACACATTCAATTGTAAGAGCTTTATACCGTTATTAGTTAAACACAAGAGCTGGATTCAATTCCTATGCAGGGAGATTGGAAAGAGACTCTCCCTTCCTCTTCTCGTATAGATATTTGAATCAAACGCTATACAATACCCACCCAGCCCGCGCATCTCACGAGCCGGGTTCAACACCTGCCATACAACCCAATATCCAACCCTCTATTGGTATATTGGTCGGTATGCGCACAGCTGTCATATTGGTATATTTGTTGCGAAAGCTGGGTTCGACTCCCAGGTAAGAGGGATGCATTGGAGTCTCTAATTTACTTTATCGCTTATTTGCTTCGAAAAAAATAGGACAAAGCGTGATACAAAACATATCACTGTAACGTCAAAGTCCTTTGTCTGGGAATCGAACCTAGTCTTCGCCCATAGAATGCGCATGCCCCCATGGCAGTATGACAGGTGCGTGTACTGACCAATATACGAACAAAGATCTTGAGAGTTCTCACTAAGAAGATTATTTATGTAGGTGGGAGAAGGAGAAGAAAAAAATCCGACAGCGGAGTCCCGAAGAGAGGATGTAAGCCTAAGAACATCAAGGGCTTTCCTAAGATCATACACTGGTTTCACAATGGCCTTCCATACTAACCCGCTAAGAAGTTCTTCAAGATACTTGAGTGACAACTCAGCTGATCTTTTATACCTTGGTCTTTCACATCTTTCCTCCTCAGGCCTATCTAATCAGTAAGGCATCAAAAATTTCCTCTTGAGTTGCGATACTCCACGACACGCTCCAACCCCCAGATTATTTTTACCTCAAAAGAGTGGGGATCCTCCTACGGGCCCAGAGCTGCTTCCAAATCCACCATACATCGCACTCGTCGAACCAGAACCACCCACATCATAACTCGTACCGGGGCCTTGCACAGCCGACGATCCCACCGCTCCCTCTCCTTCCCCTTTCTTCTCATTCTGCCAACAAGCATTCAATTAACTCTCAACCACGACTACTCACATGCGCACGGAAAAACATACCTCCTCCTTCTGCAACCGAATCAAAGCCAAAATCACCATATTCCTCTTCTCGTGCGTGAGGTTCTGCAGGCACTGTACGACGTCTGGCGGTAACAACTGCGCCAACAATGAATCCGCCAAAGACCGAGACTCGCTCGGCATCAATGACTCAATTGCAACAGGCAATTCAGGCATTCCATAGGGAAAAACAGCGCCCACGAGCGCCGTCCCAGTGATACTGAATAGTAGGATGGTTTTGGATTCCACTCCGAAGGGCGTTACCCAGGACACCGTTGCGAACTACAGAAAGGGCGTGTATCTCATTTCTTCAAGTTACGAAAAGCAGGGGAACTGACCAAATTTTGCTCCATCAAAAGCCGACAAAACATAGTGTAATTCACCGGATTCATCGCCGCGTCAACTCCAACTCCACTATCCTCATCTTGGTCAACCAGAGCAGGAGAGAGCGAGCAAAGCGTCGCCGAATTCCGACTCAACCAGTCTTGAAGGACGTGTATCGGAACGCCCCTTGTCAGCTCGATAGTGAGCGTGTGGGGCCAAGTATCTGCATGACTACAATCATATCAGTATTTAGCGTGAAACGACGCCACAAGAGAGATAGAAGAGGGAACACACCATTCCTCAGGCGTCGTTGAACACGCCAGAAGTAACATACGTATGTCATCCCCCTTAGCACTCTTATCCCTCCACTCGAGCAACCCCTCCCAAACTGGCCCGAATCCATCTCGTCCACTGAGTACAATTTCCCTCTGTTTTTGCTTTTGCTTCTGCTTCTCCTTTGCTCGCTCGGAAATTCCTTCAAGTTCGGGAGGGTCTAATTCCTGAGTAGTAGCCCGAGGAGTATCGGGCTGGAAATGATCCCCTCAAGTCTCATTCAAGAGATCTGGAATTAAGAAAGAAGTACGTACCCCATTATCTTCAGCAACCTCTTCCTCCCGATGCGCCTTATCGATGTGCTCAGCGTCTATCGGTACTTCGGCTTGAGAAGACATGCTTGTCAATTTCTTTTTTATTTCTTTTTTACAATGAGCTCGTAAATTCGCAAAAGAACCCACACACCGTGAATAAAATCTTGTATTGATACGAGATGCGATGGACGGTAGTGTGGTCAAGAATCAAGTCAAGTCAACGAACGCTCATCAATACGAACGAATTTCCACGGCATGTCGAACGCATGTTCGAGGTAGCGACGGGGATTAAAGAAACGTGTCGATGTTAATTGATACGGCGGAGTAAGGCCGCCGGTCTTCATTCTAAATTCGTGTCAAGAAAAGTTGGATGCAGCCGGTCTGTATCATTGATCAGATAGACGCCGGAGTAATTAAGTCAAGCATGACTTTCACCCTTTTCGCGTCGTGTCGTATTGAAAGGTCCAAGTCAAGCGCCCCCTTTTTCCTGGACATCGGCCTCCTAACCTTTCCAACAAAAAAGGGAGAAATCGACGGGTGAATCTGACGACTCAGAGTCGGCTGTTTTCTATACACATCTTCTATATATATTTGACGTCAATCTCTGTAGGGAGATTGCACTTAACGAAACGCACTAGGCTGTATTGTGCTTTTACGACATTGCTTGCAGCAGCGGCCTCGTTGTCAATTATCTCCCAGGGAGAGGGAGCATGCGTTTCTTTTTCACCTTTCCATGGAGACACCGGAGTGGCACTCCGAAGAAACAGTCATGGAACGGGAGACGCTCTTTCCTAATATATACTTGGACTTGAACCCGGACAATGCGAGAAGCGCCATGAGGTCAGGGCTCATTCTTGAGTTGAAACTTGACGGGAAAGTAGGCGATGAGGTGGCCACAAAGAGGTTTCTTTCCTGGGGAGTTTTCGTATGGATGAAATCGGAGGAATCATCTAGAGAATTCGAACAGCGGGCGCTTCCCTTGCAGGGAGTTTAGCTTCCATGTGGGATCAGAGGGTGATCACGAAAACTATAACTATGTGAATTGTCGTGCGGGGGGATACCTATACCTTGGATTTCGCGAAGTGAGTACGAATGAGAAAGACGGCGGGTTTCCAAAGAGCGTGATGGGCAAAATTGGGGATGACAAATGGAGTGGGCGTGGAGGAGGTTGACGTCGACCAACTAAATACGACGATCCAGAACGGCCACCTCCTGAATTGGCGAGGACAATATTTTTCGCCTTTACTACCTGGCACAAGGCATGTTTTGTCGTCGGAGGGCCCAGGAAACGTTCAGCGCCGTGCCAAGGAACCCACCAGGTTGCAGAGGGGAAATATTTTTCAAGAGAGTCCAGTGAGAGAAAGGGTGACTGTCCAGCGGGCCACTGGCATGCGCCTAGTAAGATGTTTTTGTTTATACTTCAAGTTACTGTTCACGTACTCCAGAATAACAGTTGACGTGTACAGCGTCGAGAAAAACCCCCAACTTGAACGTCCCCTGCCCTTGTTAAACTCCTAGTCCACGTTTCCAATAGCTTGAGACTCCGGTATGGCTGCATCGAGCCATGGACTGCTGGCTTTTGACCTGAGGAACTTTGGATGACGTCTCAAATTTTCTTGTGACACTGGGGCAGGTGGGAGGAGGATAGGGAGGAGGAGTGATTCCGAATGAGCAGGGAGGACGAATGTCTTGCAACCGATGACGAACGATTACGATCACAATCACGATGAGCTTGGAGGTTTTTGGATCGCATGACTACGGATTCACAAGGGTCAATCGTGGAAACAAGAAAAGCACGGAGACACGTACCTGAGCAACGTCAAGACGAGCCAGGGAGTATGGGATTCCAAGGGCAGGGATGAAAAAAAGACGCGAGAAGGAGAGAGGTTCTCGTCATCACGACCGACGTGTAAGTAACCTGAATCGTGACCAAGGAAGCAAAAGGAGGGGGAAATGTGGTAACTGTGAACAGACGTCCATCTTTTCTCACTTCCTCACTTCTTCGAAAAAGCAAAGTAGACCCAGGACATCGAGCATATCCCTAGCACTTGTCCCAAATTCTGTTGTTGAAGTTATAATGACGCCGCTATTTGCCTGGGTCCACTAGAGAAGAGTTGAATATTGGATAGCAGGTAGAAGTTAAACGTAAACGTTGAACGTTGAAATGTGGAACGAATCATGTGCACAGTCGATGAAGAAGGGAAGCCAAGGGGTACGTTGAGAAAAAGTTACCTGCCAAAAGAGGCAATTGCAGATCAATCAGGGCGCGGCCCGGTTTCCGCTGTGTTGGTGTATACTTAGGATCCAACAACCCCCGCATTTGTGAAGCTGGAATGTCGTACAGTATTCTGGTATCAGCTGGTGGTAAGTTGCGACTTTCTTCAAGTTCTTCATCAATCCTCATCAGCCTCTTCCTCCAAAATGCCAGGCTGGCAGGCTCGTTTGTCTCACAATCGTCACCTTCGATCCCACCTGAAATGATCAACAAGGCCGAGGCTTTTCTGCTTTACGGAGAGTCCCACTGTAAGCCCATTTCCGTCGAATGTCCGTTCGAAATGGATAACGATTCGATTTGATCCTTCTTTTTCGAGCTTCTTGACTCGTTTGATAAATAGTTTTCATCAAGGTAACCTCATGCCGGCTAGCTTGAAGGAATCCTTGTAAAATGTAAAATATGCTAGTGTTTTTGCCGAACATATGGGCAGGAAAAAATCGGTCAGTGGTCCACATGTCTCGGTAATTGTCGGTTTGTACCCTTGAGGCTACTCGTTCTTGCAAACGACGACAGCGGACTGTCCGGCCCTGCTCGTCATGATCACCAGCTTGTCTGCTTCCTGACTCTTAAGTTTTAATTCTTTCACTATTCCTATTTACTCGGCATCAGACTGACTAAGGTCAAAAATCAAATGGCATAAGATGTATGGCGTATATATAGGTGGTGTTATGGCAACCACGAAGCTGATAAGATTGAGACGCTGAAGAGTACGAGGGTGATGGGGAGCGATTGAAGGGGTCCGAGATATACATAGGCATAAGTAGCAAACAGGGAGTCCGAAACACGTAACAACGAGGAGTCCGAGACGCTAGCAATATATACAGATGGAAATACTGGGAATAAAAGAAAACATGAATACCCGGGGCATATAACTCTTGGGACCTGCGAATGGAAGTTAGTGAGGAGCAGGTCGACTAGACCCGCAGCTTAGGGGCGAAGTAGTAGCCGCTAGAGTAGACGGGTTCTTGCTCAAGAGGAGAAACGACCTTGGGAGGAAAAACCTCCTTGAGAGAAACTTCTTCGAGAGGAAGAACTTCCTTGGGGAGGGAAACTTCTTCAAGAAGGTAAACTTCCTTGAGAGGAGAAACTTCCTCAGGCGGAGAAACGTCCTTGAGCGGAGAAATAGCAGTGGCTGCTGCCGGGATGTCGGTGTATAAATTCACGACAGGGGAAGCCAACGCATGAGCTGCTCCAAGTACTGTAGGTGAGTTGTCGATTTTGTCAAAGCCAGCTTCATAATCCTCGTCAGAGATAAGGAAGTTATCTGGGAGATTGGCTTTGAGATCTTGACTCAAGTCGTTATCGACGTATTGGAGCATGTACCCCAGGATCTGCACAACATAAATGAGTAAGTAGTTCGAAGTTAGTGGTGAATTGACAAACGCACCTGTGGACCAGGGATACGGATGACGACGCCGTCGCTGGCGGAAAGAATGTCTGCTCCTCTCTCCGAAACCTTAGAGTGTGAGATTCCGCTGTTCGACCAACAGAAGATGCCACTGGCGGATTGAACAGATTCCTCAAACTCTTTCGAGTACTTCCTGAGTTGTTCAGTGCTCATGTTGACTTTGATTGTAATGTCCTATACAGGCGCATCGTCAGAAAGAAAAAATGTGTGGATTAAACAGTAGACGAACCTTGCAGATGATGAACCCGACCGGATACGCGGGGAAAAGGCCTTTGTTCAGCTCTTCCCATTGAGCCGGCGTCGCGTTTTCGAGGTCTTCCATGCTATTGATACCTTCAGGCCACTTCGACGCGAAGATCTTCTTGTCGATGTGACAGAATCCGCTCGTTTGCTTGAAGAACTGAGGCTGGAACCATCCACCACGATCAACGGTAACCATCGTGGCTCGGAACCCGATGTCAACCTTGAACGACTCGCTACTTGACGAAGCCAAGTCCTCTGCAAACGAGGTGGAGGTTTGCCCCCTGGAACCCCAGAAGAAGCTTACATCGGAACCAGAAACCGAGGAGCTAACTTGGGTGGTGGATGCTTGGTGGATGACCGACGTTTCATGAGTCAAAGTGATCTCCTGCCACCTGCCACCTCCAGCCGTGCCACTGTGATGTGGTGGGAAAAAAGGAAAATCTGCAAGTATCCGAGTATACTCAGGGGTGGCTGGGCTGGCGCTCAAGACCTGAACCCGAGTGGTGAGCTCCGTGATCTCCTTTCGAACAGCATCGATTTGTAGTGTAATGCTAGTGATCTCTTGCGAGGTATCCGTTGCCTCGGCCAGAGTCACTGCCGATAGCGCCTGAGAATACGCTCGAGAGGCACTGTTAACTGCGTCATGAGCAGCAGTAGCCTTCTTCATAGAATCTTCGATGCCGTTGAATGCACTTTCAGCAATTCCGAAAAGCTTCGCTTGGGTAACGAAGAGACTGGACTGGAACTCGTTAGCAGCGGATACGAAGCTTTGTGCGAGTGAGAGGACGTTGCTGGAGTACGTTGTTTGAAGATTGGACTGACACTTGCTGTACTCGGACTGAGCTTGTTCGGCCGCCAACTTTAACGCTTTCAAGTCGTTCTTGGGAGAGAATTGCAGCGCAGCTAAGCGAGATTGAAGCAGATCCAGAAGCTTAGATTTGGCGTTAATTTGCTGGAGGATAATTTTCGGATCCGATGTGAGATCCTCTATCGTGAACGATGAAGAGAGACCTTGGAACCAATCGATGGGCGACAGCTGCACGGGATAGATATTCATGGCGCCATCCAAGGAACTGGTGACAGCCTCGCGAAGTCCGTCCTTGGCGTCTTGCAGCATTTCGGATGGACTTTTAATGTCCATATAGCCAAGATACTGGCGGATGGTGCGAGAATAACCGCGAACGACGGCATCAGCGTGTTTGGCGGCGAGCTGGGCCTCTCGAACGGCTGTGATGTGCGCCAGCTTGCGCGTGATGTCGTCCACATTTTCATCCTTGGCCCGCGCGTTCTTGATCATGGTATCACGTTCCAACTCCCAGACTTGTTTCGCGGATAGGTACTCCTCCATGAGCGCCTCTGCGAGCTCCATGCGGTTGACTTTACCATCCTCCGAAAGCCTGTTAGCCACTGCAAACTGCGGTACGGGTTCGCCATAAGGACTTGTGACCGTGCTACCAACCGCGGCAGACAATGGAACAGACCGATTCTGTTGCGACTCGATAAGGTTCTTGACCCAACCTGTGGCAGGGACTTCCTTCATAAGCCAACGACGAATTTGGGCCTGTTGCCTGGCGATGATACGATAGTCGTTCTCATGGCCAGGCACCAAGTTATTGAGTACCTGCTCGTAGCAGACGGACAGGTTTTGTCCGTTGGAAGCACCAACCACTTCGCCCACGTTATACAGCTGATCGACGAGACGGAATTCACTCTCGTTGACGGCGACTGGCTTGACGAACTGTCCGTAAATTCCGGCTGCAGATGTGTCCCAAGCATACAAGTCTTTCTGCAGGAAGCGAGCAGGGAACTGGAAAGCGAAGCATTGGCCAGTCGTGGGTGGGAAGACTTGTTTGAGGCTGTTGACGATAACTTCAAAGAACTTTCCCTGAGAAACGCTCGAGGCAGTGAACGCCGCTTTGGCTGCAGTTGGCACATCCAGTCCGTGCGCAGGGTGAGAATAATGACGATTGCTGGACACTACGGATGCCGAAGGGACGTCAACGACGCCATTTGTGCTCGCAAAAACATTTGAAACTGCTGAGGGGACGTCAAAGACGCCATTTGTGCTTGGAATAATGTTGGACACTGCCGAGGCGACGTCAAAGAAGCCATTTGTACTTGCAATCACATTGGACACTGCCGAGGGGACGTCAACGACGCCGTTTGCGCTTTCGATAGCTTGGGACGCCGCTGAGGGGACGTCAAAGAAGCCATTTGTGCGTGCAATAACATCGGACACTGCTGAGGGAACGTCAACAACGCCATTTGTGCTTGCAATAACTTGGGACACCGCTGAGGGAACGTCAAAGACGCCTTTCATGCCTGAAAAAACACTAGACGCTGCTGAGGGGACATCAAAGACGCCATTTGTACTTGGAATAACATTGGACACTGCCGAGGGGACGTCAAAGAATCCATTTGTGCTTGGGATAACGTTGGCCACAGTCGAGGCGACGTCAAAGAACCCATTTGTAACATTGGACACTGCCGAGGGGACGTCAAAGAATCCATTTGTGCTGGGAATAACATTGGACACTGCCGAGGGGTCGTCAAAGACGCTACTTGTGCCTGGAATAACATTGGACGCTGCCGAGGGGACGTCAAAGAAGCCATTTGGGCTTGAAATAACTTGGGACACTGCCGAGGGCGCCAATGCGGATGCCGTGGGGAAGTCAACGGCGCCAGTTGTGCTTGCATGAACTTTGGACACTGAGGGACCGTCAACAACGCCATTTGACCTTTCAACAACTTGGAGACGCTTAATGCTGCCGGCACGGCAGGCGGTGGTACAGAAACCGCTAAATAGATACCTGACTTCGGCCCACTCCGACAATTCGTAACTTTCGATGATCTTTGATTTGGTCTCAGGATCAACGCCCGCGACATCCAGTGCATGATTCATGGTCCAGATGGAGTCAGCGATAGGGTGATTGGTCGGATGTGGATAGTTAATCGTCATGAATGCTTTGTCAGTTTCGGAGAGAACATTGTTGGGCTTAATCTCCCGATTCTGCTTGTTCATATCAGCTGGCATGAAGGACCTTCGCATGGGATTAGTAAACAATTGCTTCAAACGCGTTGTCAACGTACGCCATAATTGACTTGACATCGGGTGCAGAAAAGTTACCAACGCCGCTAACGTTGTACACGCTCAAAATCTGCTCACGGACTTCTCGCTCCTCCCAACCGTGGGTCTTCTTGTAAAAGTCAATAACAGCTAGAAATATGCCACGTCAGCGGGGAAGTTAAGCGATAAGAAAAGAATATCGTACCAGATTCTTTCAAGGTGATGGTACCACCGTGGATAGGAGATTGGTGTTCGTGCATGAGGCCAAGGGTGTGACCGAACTCGTGCAAAATGACGCCCCTTTCCTCTGCAGTAATGATGGTAGAGTGGTCCCCTATCCAACCCAGGTTCATCGTGGGATTGTTGACATTGACGAGGCTAATTTCATTTCCGACGTACGACCAAGAACCCAAGTTGGGATCAAAGGTGATACGAACGGTAGCATTGCCAGTGGGGACGAAGGTGAAGTTAAAGTTGGCATACCTTTCCCACTCTTGGACAACTTTTTTGACTTTGTTCTGTTGAATAGTGTTCCCGGCCTTTGGGCCCAGGAAGGTGTAAGTTAGGGTCTGTAGAAGGCGGTGATCAGCATAAACGGCCTGGAACGGAAGTGACGACGTACGCTTCCATTGTCCCACATACGAGTTGCCTTGGTGAGGATGGTTCTCATAACTGCGACACCACCAATACGATTGACGTCGGCTTTGGCAGACGAGGCAGCGGCCTTGTCGTGCGAAGCTTCAGCGCAAGCACGTTGGTACCAAGTCGCCCCTCGAACATCGTAGCTATCAAAGACAGCAGGCTTGGTGATGTCGGTGTCAGCTGAGGCTGAGGTGGTCGGGGCAATTGTAGAGTATTCCGTGGCACCTTTGGCGGGATCCATTTCCGCACTATGGGAGTCGTTGGTATGATCGGTCTGAGACATGAAAGAGGATTAGCTTCGCGGTCGGTGTAGAACAGAGGGCTGTTGGGGAATTGAAGCTTGAATAGAGCAGACTTTAAGTTCTTTCGGTAGCGTCGAACGGGTAGGTAAGTCAAAGACGCTGACCTGAATCGAAATCTGCCAAGGCTAAATTACATCTCGGAAACATAAAATCGCCTGTGAACTAAATCAGAAGTTTCAAAATTAGAACTGTATCTCCTCGCACATCATTGACGGTACCACGGTTCAGGGCATGTACTCTGGATTCACCGACGTTTTGACGTTTCGTATGTATACCCATTTCTCCTGGAAGGTGAAATTAACGATTCCTTCACTGTTCGATCTAGATTGATAATCAATTGTCAAGTTTTTAGCGTAAAGAGTCTGAAGTAACGTACAAAACATCAAACTCAGAATAAGCTGGCCTTCGGCGGGGAACAAATGGGTAGATGATCAACGTTCAACGTTCAACCTTCGTGGTCGCGTAATTTTCTAAAGTTCCCACGATTGTTGAGTCATCAATGGGAATAATTGCGGCAAGATATAGATTTATTCCAATTGTGTATGACCCATCGGAGACCTTGAACAACAACAAACTAAATTTCAATTTTTGAAAATTTCTCAGCGATGCTTTTCTATCGCGGACAGCACGGTTGTTTGACGTTTTTCCCGCTTGATCGCACAGACACTTTTCAACGTTTACGTGAGCCATTGTTTTTTCTAAAGGTGTGTTCCTAGGGACTACTCCCCCTATTTGCCATCATAATTTGATCTTGAATCGCAGAAAGGGCTATATCATGGTGTCTTTTTGAAGACCATGTGGTAAATTTTAGCCTTCAGGTGCATAAGGTACGGCTATTTCAGTAGACAGCTACATCACTTTGTGTTTTCCCATGAAGGCTCTCTTTCAGCGCTCAAGCATCAGTAATTTAGCATTCCAGTAACACGAGTTTATCGAACCCCCAAAATGACAAGAAATATGCTGCCTGTCACAAAAATTTTCAAAGTGTTATTTGCTGCCTCCGGTCTCTTGTACGTATCCCATCCCGTAGTCCAGCAATGATTGTACTCATTGAACTTGTTATGTAGATCGGAACAAATTTGAGACCGGCTGACCCATCACATCTCAACAGTACTGTCATTGCATACGTTTCAGGGTGCCATCATCGAGAGCATGAATTTTAATCTTTATAGTTTTATGGTTGTAGAATGGTCGTCACAAATATTTCTGGTCCACAGGCTGAATTTCTCCGAAAGAAAAACATATCCTCACTTCAAAAACCTGCCGTTATAGGAAAATTTTCAGACGTCCATTACGAACACTTGTGGGAAGGAGTCGATGTTCAGAACTAGATCCGTGATTGATGTCCAGCTAAGGCCCCGAGATGTCCCTTGGGTCTTCGCGCTTATCTACTAATTGGACGGCTTCGTTACATTCTCATGCTGTTGGGGTATGTACGTGGGCCTGTAGAGTTACGTTTGGTAGTCTTCGGAACGGGGTAAACAATCACTCCGGGGTTTTTTTAGCACCGAGTTCGACTTGGTTCCTCGCAGGTGGTGGGAGTATTTTTCGTCTGACGAAGACACATATATTCAAGGGATGCTAGGAACTTGAAGCAGAAGAAACCGCTTCAAGAATACAAAGTCTGGGCTATTTGAGGGCTCTTGTGGCTTCTCTCGAGCTTCAGGTCGGGATACCCGATACTCAGCAGCACCTGTAGACGTACCTTGATTCTCTCAAGAGTGGGACGACAGAAGGAACGGACGAAGCGTGAGTAAAAGTCCAAGGAAAATTAGGAACAACGTTGTCATTGAACCCATCTTTTCACAGTCGCGGATTTTCGAACTCGAAAATGTAGACGCCAAAAGAAAGTGGTTCTTGACTGTTCAAGGCGCCAAAGGCAAGTGGTATCGCACTGCCTTGACGTTTACGCCCTTGCCCAACGTAATGAATCTTTTTTTTTTTTTTTGTCAAATTTAAGTCTATTAGGGCGAAGCCCTATGTCAGACCTTACAACTTGTAGACTACCTAAGGCCCCGAATGCCTATATACCTGACCCCCTGTAGGACCACTCCATGCACTGGTGGAGGCACGCCCGAGGCGACCTTTCCCCCACACAGCCCGGCACGGAAACGCCGTTTAAGAGTGCACCCGTAAAGCGAGCGGGGTAGTCTCGTACTGTCTGCTTGACTATGCAGCCTTCCAACGGCCATGAGTTTCGTCTTCTAAGTACCCGACCGCAAAGCAGTAGGTACAGCCAAATGGGACGAGCGCGATCAGGGAAGAAATTTGTTTTTGAGTGTCCATCGATTTATTGAGTTGTTCTTCGTCCATTACTGAGCTGGCACGTGTCAACTTGAGCTTGAAGTCCGCAGGCTGAGGTGCGGGTAAGAAAAAAGGGGGGGAGGTTTTGAGGGTAAATGCCAGCTGAACTATCGTCGGTCCATTCTTCCTATGAGTTATGCCCTGTCAAAAAAGGCGTAATGAATCTATTTCTGTAATTCAATACTAGATCTATGGTATCCTAAAAGCAATTCGATAGCTTAGGAAATACATACATAAAAGGTTAATTGAGCTTTATCTTTTTCGACCGTCGTTTCGGAACTTCACCCCCCCGCCTCCGCTTTCCAGCAGCACCACCATCCCTCAACGGGTCCTCAAGCCCCTCCAAAAAATCCACAGGCGACAATTTCCGCGTGAGATGTTTGACGAGCGTCATGTTGAGACTCGCGATGGGGTGACCATCCTCCTCGTCCGGATCTTCCTCCAAACACCGCTTGAGGTTGGTATCTGCGGGGAAGGAAGCGACGACGCGTAGGAGGCTGTATTTCCCGGCGTCTGAGCGACGACGGTGTGGGAGTGCGCGGAGGAGGGTCCTGGTTTCTTCAACGAGGGTGGGATGGCTTGTTGGGGAATATCGGTTGCCTTCCTTGATTGACAAAGAGGTTAGAATGACGAATGGATTTTTCGGCCCACGTAGCTCACCTTGTCAAAGAAGAAGTTGGAGGGCGTAACGGAGCGCATGGCGCGCCTGAGAAACGGTCTCGAAAGAGATCCGTTCTTCCCTGACGAAAACTTTGCCTGAAGGGCGACCCAGATCGTCGTCCCATCCACAAGTCGAAGCACAAATATGAGGTCGGGACCCATCGAGTCAACTGGGAAGCAAAACGGAGTGTGCGAGCGGTGGTTCAGCCATGCAGTGGTTTCCGTGGGCGTTTTCGCGTTGATACCCAGCGCCAACGAAGGTCCGGAAAACGCGAAATGGCGGACGCTGCCCTGTTCTACGGTGCCTTGAGGATCAGTAGTAGTAGTGCGGTGCAAGGCAACAAGTTCAGCTTCCAGCTCAGACCAAGGTGGGGGTGTACCAACGAACGAAAAAACCTCATTGATCCTTCTCCGTTGTGATGAAAAAATTATGTCTAAGCAAAAAGCGATGTAGTTTTCGAATCCGTTCGATGCCGGATCGTGTAAATGGATCTGCTTTGCGAAGAATTTATAGCTCGTGCGGTGGTTTGCGTTTATCCAGTGGGTTGCGGCTAGGAGGACGAGTGGTTCGTCTACTGCGACTGTTTTCGTCTCGGGGTCTGTGAAGCGAGCGAACCCGTATTCGACGTAGGTCGCTTCGTCTTTCCCGAGTGTGAGGGGGAGAACGGAACGCATTAGGTAGTGTGTTGTTAGTTGGTGAATTGTCGTTAGCATGTCACTGTCTTTTAGAAGGAAAAAGGTCAGTGCGCGATAAGAAAAACCGGGAAAGAAAAAATCTTTCACTTTTCTTTAGTTTTGAAAAGTCGAGTTTGTATTGCGAGAGATTTGGGAGCGCATCTGAACTTTCCGCCTCGACGAAGGACTGGGCATCGGTGACACTGAAATGCGTGAAATGTTCCACATAGGCATTCAAAAGCCCATGACATCTGCGAAACCCGTTGACAATAAGTTCCGCAACGAATCCCGCCGTGAACCGATGTCTACCCCAACTTTCAACCCCATTCCAAATTTCTAAAAAAGGACAAGCAAACTCACCTCCCATGCAACCAATACCAAACCCTCTCCACCAACCTCCTCCCCGCCGGCGTATCCAAAACACACCTCGGTAGATACTTTTCCAAATACCTCTTCTGCACATCCACCTCATCAAACGCCCCCGTATCCGAACACCACCGATACCTCGAGTCCTTCATAATAGCCGACGCCATCGCCTGATCCACGACGTCTTTGGATATACCCGTACCAGCGACGACCATGAACACGCCGTGCCCCACTGACTGACCTTCCCATGCACGCACAATTTCGCGCAGGACGGGACGGTGGGCGGCGGAGTGGTCGGAGCGGAAGGAGGTGGAGTGGTGCGTTGCTGCGTGTTGGGCTTCGTCGAGGATGCAGAAGAGGGGTGTTTGGGCTGTGTCGGAGGTTGATAGCGTGCGTGCACTTGTGCATGTGGATCGTCGTTGGGAACGCGAACAGAGGGTGCGGACGCGTGTTAGGAGGTCTTTAGTCCGTACATTGACGTAGCTGTCCGATGCGTTGGATAGTTTACAGGACAGGGCGTGAAACACATCCCATACTTGTGGATGGACAAAGGAAGGTAGGAGTTGGAGGAGGAGCCAGCGTTGTTTGTACACCCTCATCTCATCCTCACTCTCCTCCTCCTCTTCCTTCTTGTGGTCACGAAGACACTTCGTCATAGTCTCAGCAAACGCACTAAACAAGATCAACCTCGCTAAAAACACCCTCTTGAATAGCCTACCGGCAATCTCGCGATTCGCATCCAACGCCGTTTGATATCCGCTCGACCCAGGCGGAGGTAAATTCCCCTTGAAATGGGGTGCATGCGGGAGGTGGGTCTCGATTGTGTTTTGGACGTCGCTTGAGCCGAGGAGGCTGGAGTCGACTAGGGAGGTGAAGTAGAACCCCCAGTGCGTGCAGAGGCCTTCAAGGAGGAGCCGAGTTTTTCCTGAGCCGGAGGTGTTGACTAGGAAGCTTTATGGAGGGATGGGGCATGAGGGAAAGGATTCAATTATTGCCGATAGACGCGAAACGCACGTGTGGTTGTTAGGCATGAAGATGTTCCGTAGTCGTTTTTGAAGCGACTCGTCGTCCTGGAAGCTTCCCAGGTCGTGCAGTAGCAAGTTTGGTTTGCCTTTTAAGCAAGTTATGTGCAAGCTCTCAAGGTGTCGTGCGATTTTTGGATCCATAGAACCGTCTGGGGGAGACCATAGAGGGAGAGAAATGTCGCCTATGACGAGTTTCGTCATCGTCGGCTGGAGTTCCTGAAGGAAATTTTGAATGTCCTTCTGGACCTCTGCGTCTTGTGAAGTCGACGCGTCTCGTTCCGCGTCTTTCGAAGTGTTAGCCCGTCAAGTACCGAAGCAAAACAGGCGACGCGACGTACTCCAATTGCGTATAGCATCATACCTCCTCCGCCTCCTGGCCGTCTTCAAAGCCTCATACAACTCTCCATCCCCCGCCAGTGCCTCGATGCATGAAGCAAGGGTGGCGTAACGCGCGTACTTGTCGCGCCAGACGTACCATAACACGTACGCGGCTTCTTCGAGGATGTCGATGTCGAATTTTGAGCTTTGATTGTGGATTTCTTGGTTGGTTGGTGTTGACGTCATAGGATTGTTGGAGTAGGTGTGGGTTTCATAGGCGTAGACGCGGTTTCGGAAAGGAACTCGTAGCAATAGAGAGTTGTTGGCATTGTGTGGCTTTCTCACGTGCACGCTTCACCGGCCCGCCTACAGCTAACGAGGTATCGATAGACCAAATTTCAAAACGCTCCGCTTAGTGATTTTGTTTACTTGTGGAGCCTCAGGGTATGTGCAAATAACCTTACTGGGAATCTATGACTATATATGCAACAAGTGAGAAGGGGCGGGAACAAGGCGGGAAGGCAATGCCCGCCAAATGGCTGGCCGTAGTTGTTTGGTCAGCTCCAAAAGTAAATAAAATCACTAAGCGGAGTGTTTTGGAATATGGTCTATCGATACCTCGTTAGCTGTAATGACGAAAAATAAAATTTCCAGTTTGCATTGAATCGACCCTCAACTTGAACGTTTGAACGTTCAAGTTTTGAAAGTTGAAACGTTTCTCTCTCTCTCAACTAGAAGACTGTGCCATCGTCTTATCGTTGCATTGTGCAGATTCCAGGCCGCGGGATACCAACGATTAATCATTGTTTGTTTCCCTAAAGTTTCATGTCTGTAATTTGCCAACCAGTCTCCGGCTTTCCATAGAAACACAGAATGCCAGTGACTTGAACTTCTATGATCCATTAACACGCCACAACCATCGTCATGGATCTGAGCAAGGGGTGCTGAGTCCCAGAGAAATTCCGTAACCATTCGAACCGAAGGGTTCTCCATGAATTCAACTTCCCGTCAAGTCGTACTGCGTGTGAGTACTAGGCTATGCCTGCCGTCGTACGGCGTGTACGTTTATTCCTGATCACAAATAGCATCGCTGATAGAAAGACGCACACAAACAGGTGTTAAGGGTTCTCGGATGGTTCTTTTCTCCTCATGCAAGTCCAGATGACACGACATGCACAGCCCTTCGTCCTCGTCCGCAGAATCACCACTTTTCAGCGACTGAGACTTGCCATCTTATGCTGCCACTTCTTCGGGATGACTCAGCTCAGGAAAAACGACTGGTAGGTTTCTGTATTGAATACCAAACCCCTTTTTTTTAGGGGATGGATCCTATTACCAGTGGCAGTCTCCAAAGTACGTCGAGCGTCTATCACCTGGTGTCGCTACAATTTGCAATCACCGATCAACTAGTGTTTATCGATATCGATCAAGGCGAAGAATTGAGGCGCCCAAGTTCTTAACTTTCAACCACGCTTTTCATAAGATCGAATCCTGCTCCATTCCCCCCCTCATCCAAGGACAGAAACCATGAATTCTCCAACTTCAGAATCCAATATCTTGTCGAGATCTCCGAGTTTCACCCAGAGTGATAGTGAGCTTCCACGGGTGACATCCTCAACAGGTAAGCATTTTCACTGAAATTGCGTACTTTTGCCGTCCAGCCGTGGTATGCTGAACCTCAATTAGGGGAAACCAGTGAAGCTTGCCGTCAAGTTTTGGAAAATGATGATTTACTCCAGCATATCTTCCAAGAGTTCGATATGACCGGGGAACCTAACGGCAATGACAACTCGAACAGGCGTTCTCTCCTTTCGGCAGCTTTATCATCCAGACCACTCTTGAGTTCGTCGCTGGACGTGTTGTGGAAAACCATGTCGTCTCTCGTCCCTTTCTTGAAACTGTTTTCCTCCTTCCAAGAAGTAAACGGAATTAACGTACGATTTATATTCCTGGACTCCCCAGGACGAATGTCCTAATGCTACATTTTTTGGCAGATGATTTACGGATTGATTACACCAGAAGATTGGACGCGATTCCAGAACTACGCCCGTCGGACCAGGAATTTTATAGCTTCTAACTCGACCTCAATCAACGAAATTCACGTCGACCCATCTACCTTTATCTGTCTTGCTCTTCATAGCGCCGGAGAACCACTCTTCCCCAGCCTCAGGCGGATTAGCTATTCTCGGGAGGGGCTCCAGATAGCTGATCCATTTCTCCTCCTCTCTCCTTCCATCGAAAGGATTGACTTGGCTGAGGTATCTCAGGATAGTAATAAAGCGCTCGCCCTTTTATCCATGCTTAGCGGTGCGACTCCGGGCCTAAAGAGTCTCGATATCGTCGGGACATCCTCTATCACTGCGCCGTTGCTGCGGCCTATCATGCAATTAGAAAATCTCTGCTCGCTAAGCCTCGGGATGCTGGGACAGGCCATTGACAATGAAATCATGCAATGGATGGTTTCCTTAAACCATCTGACGAGCCTATCCATCGATTTTCGTACGTAGCATCACTCTCCCACTTTTGCAGGTTTCAATATGCTCACCTCCCTTTCCATTGCCGCAAATCTGTTACTGGTTCAGCTTGCTCTTGACCACATTGGATCCGCTCGCTTGGAGGAATTGACGATAACCACGTGGGGCACTGGTTCAGGTCACGATCGTCGTCGAGAAGTAGTTCGGAAGTGGACATCCTTTGCTACAGTCGCAAATTCTCGGTGGAACGGATCCTTACGGAAGGTTTTCATCGAACATGAAACGCCGATCCCGGTGACGATTCCATTTTTGGGCGTGTTCGCCCCCTTGCTTGAGATAACTACTTTAGAAGAGTTGGAGGTGAAACGGGCGCACACCGAATTGCTTATTGACGCATCTCAATATCAACGAATGGGGTCGGCTTGGAAAAAGCTCCGTCTCCTTCATATTGATTTCATTCCTTGCGACTCTTCAAACTTGACGGACATTCTGCAACGTTTTTCAGAAGATTGTCCAAACTTGACATCTCTTGAGCTACCTATTACAGTTGTCAATCTTCCGGCCAACCTCCCACCCGACTTTTTCTCCTTTCACAAGCTAAAATTCATTTCGTTCGCACTTATTCGAGTGGAAAATATTCTCGCATTCGCGAGGTACTTGGATTGCCTCTTTCCAAACTTGATCCGGGTTCGATCAATTCGGGATTCCTCTGTAGAGGTAGAAAATAAGATCAAGATCTTCCAAGCGGTTCGCTCATACGAAAGGTCTCGTATGTTCGCTTTGTGGAAATAAAGGGTGTTTGGGCGTTTCTAGACCGGTGACCGTTCTGTATATGAGAAGTACCTGCGATATACAGGGCGTTTCGCTCTTCGTAAATATAGCCCTTGTTACATCACGTGAAAATGAAAATGCACGGACCCCTCTCAACGTCGCTCAATGTTTTTTCCATCTTCCTCACGTTGTTTGCACACGCCGTTTCAGTCTCAGACTCAACTAGAACCCTCTCAGGTGTGTCAAGTCAAGCCCTCTCGCCCGGCAGGTGGAACCTGAAGTACCCTCTCGGAGTGATTTTTGAACATTTCGACGTCGATCTGGGCGAGGATCCACCTCCAACTGGCAATAACTTGAATAAGTCCTTGCTGTGGTCTGCCGTCGCCTAAAAGGCTTTCGTCGATCCTGCCTGTGGCGGAACATGCACTCCTATCCCTTACGCCTTTCTTCGACCTTTTTCCAGCTTACAAAACGCGTCATTGCCTGTTGCTGTGAGTTTTAGTCGGTTGTTCTTGGATTCGTGGGTTGATTGACGTGTAGATGCTTCATGGTCCCATCTTTAACGCGGCTTCGATTCGATTCGACAGCTGCGCTCACAGTTTAAATATCAGCATCTTTAAATGAACACCGGCTTGGAATTGCTGTCGTTCATGTGTTCTCCGGCGGGGGAGAAGTTGTCGATTGCGCAGTGTTTAGACAACTTCCCTTGATCTTCCCGAAACTAAAACGTCTTGGGGCAGGTCTTGGAAGCACGTGAAATTTTTCATCTGGGCTTTCTAGGATGTTCGTGCTAAAGAAAGAGCCATAGTAGCTCCTAGCATAATTCGGGCTGGTTACAATCAATATTTCATTCATCGCGCATCGTTTGTCTGTAGATCTTGTGCAGACAGATGTGCGCGGGTAAGGCTGTCTATTTTAAGCTCTGCCACATGCTTCCGAGAAACAATGACGACATGACTGGAACTGTCGACGCAGAAATCGTATAAAGGCGTGGTCGGCTTTCGACGCTTTAACTCAAACCACAACAACCCACCCATTTTACAACATCCTCAAACCACTCTCAGCAATGTCAAGCGGCTTCAGCATCAGCTTTGCCAGTAAGTAACATATGTCTTACATTTCTTCTATCTCTAACCTCGCTTTCATTTTGTAGAGAAATGTATCGTCGTCACTGGTGGAAACAGGGGCATTGGTTACGCGCTTAGCAGGGCCGTTGCTCAAGCAGGAGCAAATGTCGCGATAATCTACAGGTGCATCGCACGCATATATTCAACTAACTTTCCCTGATCATCGTGCGGCTCACAGGTCTTCCAAGGACGCCCCTGAGGTAGCAGAGAAACTCTCGAAAGAGTTCAACGTCAAATCCAAGGTTTGGGATTGTCTTTTTGCGCTCGCCCCACTCTCCTGACGCTCGCTTTAGGCGTACAAATGCGACGTCTCGGATACCGACCTCGTCAACAAGACGCTCAAGCAAATTGACGAAGAGCTTGGTCCCATCTCGGGCCTTATTGCTGTAAGTTATCTCGATTTCATTTTTTTCGAATTATATTCTCATTGTATGCGCATATATGCCAATAGAATGCTGGTGTATCCGTTCCCAAACCAGCCCTCGACCTTACCCACGACGATTTCAAGACCGTATTCGACGTCAACGTATTTGGCGTCTTCAACACCGCTCGTGCCGTGGCTAAGTGCGTCTTTTTCTCTCTCTATGACGGGCCGTTAGTAATTCCGTCTCCCAGGTTATGGCTCGAGCGAAAGCAGCAAGGGTCGATCGTCATTACCTCGTCGATGAGCTCACAGATTATCAATAAGTCTGCGGAAGCCACCCCCCTTGCTCAGGTGATTTGGTCATTTCGTTTTCTGGTCATCATTTAATACCCGGACGCCTTCGCCAATCCAGGTTTTCTACAACGCCTCCAAAGCCGCTGTTTCGAACCTTACCAAAGGGCTTGCCGCCGAATGGTCTTCTCAGGGGATCCGTGTCAACGCCGTGTCTCCTGGTTATGGTACGTGACTCGTTATTTTCATGGCGGCAAATGGTATCTCACTCAACTTCTTCAGTCAATACCGATCAGACCTCTCACATGGAAAAGAAAATCCGCGACTTCCAAGCCCGATCTCTGCCTCTTGGACGGTTTGCCGAGGTAAACGTTCCATATATTCTAGACAATAATTGTCTCATCCTGGATTCAATAGCCCCATGAGATTACTGGCCAAGCACTTTTGCTTCTTTCCGACCACGCCTCCTATATGACTGGCGGTGAATACTTTGTTGACGGGTAAGCGTCTATGTTAATCGCTTTCTGGCTGTAGTGACGCCTTCTTGTTGTAGCGGTCATCTCATTTGGTAGATATGGTACGACAAGTTATAGTCGGTGTACTGGTAGCTACCGGCTAAGTAATTGTAATAAAATAAGCGTTTCATGTCAACCCTGAAATCCCCACAATTAGAGGTCTACATAAGTGTCCCCATTGTTCGATATCCTGAGCGTCATTCTGTCGAACGGTGCTGTAAATACCTGAAGTCATTGACATGCACCCAAGTTGATTTTCGTAGGATCAAAGGCTTCAAGAACGCGTTGTGATCGATTATTTGTTGAGGAGATGAGGCGATAATCGGAGTTCGAAATTTTCTCGGTTGACGCACGAGTTACGAACTCAATATTCAATAACGGCAGGTGTCGCACTACGAGCTTTCTGGCCCTTTTCGTGCACTCGCCTTTGAACAGGTTGATCCTGAACTCCTCGGATTTCACTGTCTGCTGCCATGTCTTCAATGGTCCCGAATCGGCATACCTGGGCTCAGTGGCTTCGGCGCGTATCATCTCCCTTCGCATCGTTTTTGCCAAAGAAAGAGAACCAAAGTGAGTCCATGTTTCTCCCCAATTCACGATTGCAGAGTTGACTTTTAAGGTGTAGGGGTGGTTACATTACGACATTCAGCCTGGGATTGGTACCTCGGCCCTTGATTCAAAGCTTCTCCGAGGTTCTCCCAGCGTTAAAAATATGGATACACGGGCAGATTTGATTCCGATACCTACTTCTTCTGACACGCTATATCGTGTCAAGGCACTCAGAAGAACCCATTCTCCTTACACTCCCGATTCCGCCTCTCCTCAGACATGGCGGCGCTCGCTTCGCTCATAGATTATTTGGCTGCAGAACGACTTGCTACGGTGTGTATCTACATGTCTATGAAGTCTTCCTCCCCCCTCTAACGAAAGAAAAACAGTCGTTCGATGGTAAGCCGTCTAGGACGACATCGACCTTCTAAAGCTGATGAGTTTTCGACTCCGCAGTTGCGGCGGCGATGCTGTTGGTATACGATTGCTCGCTGATGTTGGGGATGGAGTTTGAGTTTGTGTGGTCATCGCCATGGGGGTTCGTGAAAGTGCTATATATCGTTCAGCGATATCTGCCTTTCTGTGATGCGATTTTTCTCTGTCTGACTCGTGAGTACCTCTCTCTCTCTTTACAACATTTCACCATTTTCTCTTCCAGACCAATTGGCGGTAAATATCGACCCAGATGGCTGCCATGTTGTTGAAACGATACGAGGATGTATGCATTCTCTTTAAAGCGTGGTTGTTTGGCTCATCGTATCAAAGGGTTGATGATTTTTGGTTTTATTTTGTCCGAAGGTGCGCATTCTCTTCATACTATCTGACGTCCCTAATGGTGGCTGCTCCTAGCAATCTTGACCCTGCGCGTATGGGCAGTATGGAAACGGGAACTGCGTCTGGGTGTCTTTCTGATATCCCTACTTACGCTCACAACTGTGGCGGAGGTATACGTGACCAGAATCTTCCTTCGCGACCTGCAATGTGTGTCCTCCCTCTGCCATCATCTCACCGAAACTGACATCCCATGTCAAGTCAGTACAAAGCCATACCCAGCATTTGTCGGTTGCTTTCTCATCAGTGCAAATCACATCGTATACTTGGATTGGGTTGTATTCATGATTTACGAAGCTGGTAAGCATTCACCTCGACCTTGATGTGCGCGGCATCCCAACTAATTGTCGCCCAGTAATACTGGTCCTGATGATAATTCCTGGAATTGCTTCCTGTAAGACCCATACGTTATCTAGTTTTCCGTTTGCTCATAAGCCGCCCTTTCAGATCGGCGAGGAGAGAATGTCGGTCTACATCATCTCATATATCGAGACGGTAAGATATTGAATTCCATCGAAAAAAATGTATCTAAATTGCCTTAGGAATAATAATGTATATCTACCTTTTTGGTAAGCGACGGTCGGCACGACGCATTCATTGTGTGCTAAAGGAGCAATAGCCCTTTCAATAGTCAATGTCGCAGTGGTCTGCGCGCTCTCTGTAAGCCGATACAATATGTCTTTGTGTGAGAACCAAACTCATCATCAAACTTCCGTAGGTAGAGTATTTCGCGGTTATTTCCAAGTACGTTTATGTTTCTGTCTCTACGTGCAAAATGACTGATCGAGTCAAGTGTGGAACGCGTACTCCATTCACTGTTGACGAGTAGGGTCGTGCTGCATATTCGAGAATACGTGAAAAGGCATCAACCGTCGTGTAGCGATGGTCTTACAGACCTACACGTTGACCTGGATGCTAGCAAACCAGAAAACCGATTTCAAAAACGAGGGAGAGGATGATATACTTTGACTCTGCTTTATTTCTGTGGTGGTGTCCGATTCTTGGAGCGGATGGCGATACCTTATCTTAGTCTTTTAGAATGACGTGAGTTGGTGACCTAAACAAATAAATAATGTTGTCCACATAAATTATTCAATGTCATATGATCAAACGGATTTCCGGGTCTAGAGGCTCTTAGGAGGCTCTACTAATAGAGGAGCGTAGATACTCTCTCGCATTATGTATCCACTAACAAGTTTTTGTTGGAATTCCGGGAGCTGTGCGAGCATGTGCAATGCGCCCGATACCCGGATTAAGGTACATTTATTGTTTTTCCGGGCATTTCATCTGTATCCCCATTTATTTCATACTCTACAGTATATATAGGAGAGCTTGTATCGTAGTTACTCATCTGTTTGCCTCTGTCACCTCCAGTTTGACGGCCGTCTGTGGACAAAACTCACTTTTTTTTCTACCTACATACTTTTCATGAAATAAAGCTGGCAATTGTCAAAGATTGTCAAAGATAGCCAAAGATTGTTGAAGATTGTCAAAGATTGTTCCATTACAGAAACATGTGAAGGAAGAAAGCCAAATTTTGCGAACAATCTTCAACAATCTTGCGGAATCTTCAACAATCTTTCAATTACAGTTAGGCTTTGGTTCTATTTACAACCTGAGATCTTTGGCAATCTTGCATTTTGTAGGTCTGTACGTTTGGTACACGAGCAAAATTGAGACTGAATAATCTTGGAAAATCCCCCATAATCTTCCAGATTCTCAGCTTTCCCTCAATCCCACAATTGAGGGATCTTCAACAATCTTCAACAATTGTTAGGAACCAAGGAATTGACCCTATCTACAAACTTCAACAAACTTCAACAATTGTTGTGACCGCTGCCGCTGGTAAGCATCACGAGAGAGATGATGTCATGTTTCCCACCTTCGAGGACCAAAATCCGGTCCATTCGGACACCGAATGGACCGGATTTTGGTCCTCGAAGGTGGGAAAATACTATATCACCATTGTTTCAAAGTGAGTTTTCATCCGTTTCGCCTGTTGTTGGGCTTAAAAAATCATCCAGTATGAGGGAATCGCCACCTTCATTTGCGAAAGACCGCGTTTTGTTGTTTTAGCTGTATGTTAAAGTTTTATGCCCAAGGAAGCATTTCATTTAGCGGTGAGTTTTCATCCCTTTCACCGGTTCTTGGGCTTAAAAGAAACGCTCAGTACGAAAGAATCTCCATCTCCATTTGCGAAAGACCGCGTTTTGTTGTTCTGGCTGTATGTCAGACTTTTATGCCCAGGGGGAGCATTTCACTTAGCAGTGAGTTTTCATCCGTTTCACCTGTTCTTGGGCTTAAAAAAAACGCACAGTACGAACAGATCTCCATCTCAATTTGCGAAAGACCGTGTTTTGTTGTTCTGGCTGTATGTTAATTTTTATGCCCAGGGGGAGAATTTCACTTAGCAGTGAGTTTTCATCCGTTTCACCTGTTCTTGGGCTTAAAAAAAACGCACAGTACGAACAGATCTCCATCTCAATTTGCGAAAGACCGTGTTTTGTTGTTCTGGCTGTATGTTAATTTTCTATGCCCAGGGGGAGAATTTCACTTAGCAGTGAGTTTTCATCCGTTTCACCTGTTCTTGGGCTTAAAAAAAACGCACAGTACGAACAGATCTCCATCTCAATTTGCGAAAGACCGTGTTTTGTTGTTCTGGCTGTATGTCAAATTTTTATGCCCAGGGGGAGAATTTCACTTAGCTGTGTGTTTTCATCCGTTTCACCTGTTCTTGGGCTTAAAAGAAATGCCCAGTACGAACGAATCTCCATCTCTATTTTCGAAAGACCGCGTTTTGTTGTTCTGGCTGTATGTCAAATTTTTATGCCCAGGGGGAGCATTTCACTTAGCAGTGAGTTTTTATCCATTTCATCTGTTCTTGGGCTTAAAAGAAATGCCCAGTATGCACCATCTCCATTTGCAAAAGACTGTGTCTTGTCATTCTGGCTGTATGCTCTATTATCAGCATTTCATGATTGTCTCAGTGTTTTTTCCCCCCTAATGCCAAAAGCAGTTGCGAATGTTGATGCTGGCCTGTGGCCATTCATGATCAATACTTGGCACAGACATTTTATGAGACCATTCCCCTTTCTCTCTACAACATGTATCAGCTGTTCATCTCCTGCTTTTTTGACAAGTCACCTTGCCCTTCCTCCACCATTCGTGGTTTGCTCTCCCCGATTTCCCCAATTTCATTGCTCAAACATCTGGGACATTGGGGTTGACCTTCAAATCATTCCCAAGGTATCCTGTAATGGAGAATATTGACTGCACTTTTGAAGGCAGGTTCTGCATATCCAGCACTTTCTGCTTCTGTGGCCTGACCATGAAAATTGTTAACAAGCTGTAGTGTTTGAAGGTTAGGTCAGCTAACTGGAAAATAACCGAGACCAGACCGGACCTAACTGCAAAAAGACTGGACCACGGTTAGTGGTTAGTCAATTCTGAAAATGAAATAACCAGTTATTTTGCAGTTAACTAACTGTTAAAAAACCGGTTATAACCAGTTACAACCGACCCTGTTATACCCCTTCAAAACACATCTAAAAGCATGAGAAACACTAAAAGTCTGACAGAGTTATGGTCAAATCTTTAAAATATTGGCGAAAAGAGTAGACTTTCAAGAATATTATCATAAAATCATCAATTCTTCACCAAATTTAGCGTTCTTGGGCTTGTTTTAAAGCTACAATGCATGGTAATAATGTTTACTGCAGGAAATATGAGAAATATATGCTGTTTTAATCGATTTTCTATTCTTTCGGTCCTAACTGGTTAGTAACTGCAACTAACCAGTTATGGTCAGTTATCTTTGGTCCAGTTAGGTTATTTTGGGTCTGGGAACGAACCCTAACCGGTCTTGGTCTCGGTTAGAGCCCCTGGGCACCCAATAACCTAACCTAACCAGACTTTTAAACACTAACAAGCTGGGAGAATTGCAGAAGGAAGTGTTTCTTACCAACATTGCAAGCGGAAATATGAGGAGACACATGGGTGTTGCAGTGAAAGATGATGAAAAAGCTATAACAGAGACCTGTAAGCCTTTTTTTCAACTCAGCTGTTGCCATTGGATCATGAACACTGAAGTGCTGCCTTATCCACAGCCCCCCTCTCCCCTGTCCCTTCGCAGTTTGGTACATCCCAAGTTTCTTGGGAAACCTCTTAATGACTATGCTCTTGCTGTTATGGATCCATCACTTGTCCTCATGCATGCGAGCTTTACATCAGTCTTTTACAATGCTGTGTTGACTCTTGAGGATCACTGGGACATCGTCATCAATAGCATTGAGAGAGGAGCAATCCCTAATGTCTATGATCTTGACTATTGCAGACCATTTTTAGATGTTTGAAACCCATTTTCCTTTTTATGTTCGACTTGATATTGACATGCATTGGACAGGCTTAAATCAAGCCAAATCCACACCACATGGCAGAGCTCTGGTCAATACAAAAAGGGACAGAGGGATGGTTGAAGTGGAACACAATGTCTTTTATGCTGAATCGATGACAAGGTTGATTTACTGACTCAGCCAAGGCAAGGTTGAGTAGTGTTTGAAAGTCCGGTCTGGTCTGGTCTTTTGACGCCCAGGGGCTTTAGCCATAACCGTAACCGGTCTACCTTTTTCCCAGAAGTCAAAAAGACCAGACTGGACCGAAAAAGACCGTGGTCTGCGGTCTTTTTGCGGTCTTTAGACTGGTTTCGGTCTGCACCAGTTTTAACCGGTCTTTAGTCTAATATTTTTAAAGTATGAATCGGTAAATTTATTAACATGTCTACTGGCTTTAAAACGAGCCCAAGAACATTAAATTCGGGTTGATCACAAAGAATTGACGCTTGCTGATTTGATTTCAACAGTTTTAGTGATGATGTGAGATTGCGAGTCATTTTTTCTGGGCCCCTTATAGAAATCTGCTTACTGAAGAAATGTTTGTGCATGCTTTGCACGCCTTCAACATGCTCGCTTCTTCACAAACTCCCACGTGCCCCCCTTTCAAGCCCTCAGGAATTGCCTCTGCAACACAATTCCGATGTTTCGGGACTATACGTCGCCGATGGTACATATGTTTAATCCCCCTGGGGTCAACTGGCATACCATCAATGATATTTTTGCAGAATTCAAAAAAAAAAAGCCAACAATTCGCTGTTCAAGCACACATCTCCCGTTTGTCCACTTCGGTAAATGAATGATGCTGACAGGTGAAATGCAGTTTACGCATGGCATTTACAGCGTGTATCTTCTATAAGAAACCTCACGCGCGGCGCAGACATTCTCACTTTCCTCATAACCAGTTCTTCCTCCTTCGCCTTCGTCCCAACGATGGATAATCCCAATCAACAGAATAGCGAACATACCACTAACAATTGTCAGTATTCCATCTACTTGCCATACCCTTCGTTCAGGAGCTAAATTATCGATCAGAGGATGACAAGCCTCACAACCCCGGCCTCGTGGCTGGCGTAGACCCGAATTTCAAGACCTCATCTGATAACCCACGCATGCCATGCGGCCATAAGTTGAACGGTAGAAACCTTATCGTCTGTATTGATGGGATGTCGAACCAGTTTGGAGAGAAGGTGAGTGTCAGGTTGGCGAATATCCGTCCAGGGTATCGACACTTTCAACGATCAGAACACAAACGTAATCGAATTGTACAACCTCATATTGAAGAAGGTTGGAGATAACCAAAGGACGTGGTACAATAGTGGGATCGGCACTTACGCCCGCCCATTGTGGAAGTCGCTCAATTTCTACAAAAAGGTTCTTTATCACAAGATTGACTTAGCAATTGCATGGTAGGTCATGGCACTACTTTGCCAATTCTGCTGTAATCTTCCCTTTTGATAAAATAGGGATTTCGAGCGAACGGTTTTGGGTGCATATCGTTGGTTGTCGGATAATTACGAGGAAGACGATTGTATATTTCTATTCGGTGTGTCATCACGATCCTGATTTCTCTGTATGCATCTTGACTTATGCTAGGGTTCTCTCGTGGAGCGTTTCAAGTTCGAGTGCTCTCGGCGATGATTGATAAGGTTTGACTCGCTTGTGTTTGCAAACAGCTCGTTGACTGAGGTCTCTCGGAAACTTTAGGTTGGTCTGGTCTTCAAGGGGAATGAAATGCAGATACCATTGTGCGTCTCCAGATATCTACCCTTCACATGGACTCATTGAGCATATTCAGTGCATATGAGCTGTATGTCGAGGGGAAGCTGAACATGGCCGAACATTTCAAGAAAACCTTCTCCAACGAGGATGTGAGGGTGCACTTCGTTGGAGCCTGGTGCGTCATTTAAATTTGACAACAGAAACACAAAATGACTGATGGTGCATTAGGGATACTGTTTCGTCAATTGGGATTGCACGTGGGACGTCCACACTTCCAGGGACAGTTGACGGGATGACGCATGTTTGCTATTTCCGCCATGCACTTGCGCTTTATGAGCGGCGGGTTAAGTTCCTCCCTGAATACGCCTACGGGGGATCCGCCACTGAACCTGCCACTAAACCCGCCGCTGAACCCGCCACTGAACTCGCCACTGAACCGCTGAAACCGATAGCCAACACCAGAGGCACGTGGGCCGTGATTCAAATCATTATCTACGCTGACTCAAAGTTGGTACAGAGTCAAAGCGAACGCTTCCACAAACGAAGGAGGTTTGGTTTGCAGGGATGCACTCAGATATGTCAGTTTATTCTCACTTGCTTACATGTCGATCACCAATGTATGACATTTAGTGGCGGTGGAAATGTTTATAATCAAGAGATGGATCGTAGCACACCGCCATTAAGGTGGATGGTATTCGAGGCGGGGGCAGCTGGCCTTCGCACAAAGCTATTCAATCGTGAACTCGAGGAGCATGAACAGATTAACATCATCGAATCTCTGACAGGGCCCTGGCTGTTCTTTGAGATCTGTCCATTCAAGAGACTGACATATACATGAACGAAAGAAAATGGACAGACAGCGACGACCCGATGGTGAGTTGACTGGTGGCTGCAATCATATTTACTGATCGAGGCATTTGTTAGGTTTCATTGTGGAAAAGGATGGAAGATCCACCCGGGTCAGAAGATCCACAGCTCATTAGTGTGGGCTGCTGGGTCGAGAGCTGATAATTACGCCCCGAAAGCATGTCCTCCTCCTCTCGATGATAACCGTTCATTCTGGAAGATGCTACGTGACAAGGAGAAGGAGCCTACGAAACAGTGGCTGGAACTCGACTTGTATGAATACTGCGAAATTGCAGTCGAGAAACTGGTCACTGAGGGCGACGATACTGCCTTGAAGTATCACACAGCCATATCAGGTAAGCTTTCTTATCCTTGACGTTTATCATTGATTTGAAGGGTTCTAGGGGACGCTCGTCGGACGGTATACAGCAATGTGATCGAAGCCCTGGATAAGCATAAGGGACTCACCCCCAAAAAGAAGAATCTGCTCCTGCGCACCACGATGCAGCTTCTGAAGAGGAGCGCTCGAGATGATTTCGACTTTAATCTGAGCCCTACAAGTGAAATTCTACCTCTGTTGTCAGACCTTTTTTGCGACAACATAGACTATTGGCGAACGGCATGGGACTTTGTGACTCTCTTCACAAATTGTGAGCCAATCCTACACTTTTGTTCATTTGTCAGCGGTTACCGATCTCACTCCATTGCACAGTTGTCAAAGTCGTTCAGTTAAAACCCCAAACCCTGGGCACCGTCTCGGTGCTATCCTATTCTTCACGTGATTCTCTCGCATTCTCACCTGATGGCAAGCGGATACTATCTGGCTCGGGAGATGGAATAGTCCAGATCTGGGATGCAGAAACTGATAACCCGGTGGGACAACCATTGGAAGGACACACTTCTTACGTCCGGTCTGTTGCGTTCTCAGGTGATGGGAAGCACGTAGTATCAGGCTCATCTGACGAGACAATCCGGATCTGGGATGTAGAAACTGGTCGCGCGGTGGGAGAGCCATTGAGAGGACACCATGATTGGGTCCACTCTGTCGCATTCTCACTGGACATCACGCGCATAGTATCTGGCTCAAGTGACAGGATGGTTCGGATCTGGGATGCAAAAACTGGTATCCCGGTGGGAAGGCCATTGAGAGGACACAGTTATGGTGTCTTGTCTGTCGCGTTCTCAGCTGATGGCAAGTACATAGTATCTGGCTTGAATGACAGGACAGTTCAGATCTGGGATGCAGAAACTGGCAGTCTGGTGGGAGAGCCATTGGAAGGACACAGATATTCTGTCCTTTCTGTCATGTTCTCAGCTGATGGCAAGTACATAGTATCTGGCTCGGATGACATGACAGTTCGGATCTGGGATGCAAAAACGGGCAGTCCGGTGGGAGAGCCATTGGAAGGACACAGACATTCTGTCCTTTCTGTCATTTCTCAGCTGATGGCAGGTACATAGTATCTGGCTCGGATGACATGACAGTTCGGATCTGGGATGCAGAAACTGGCAGTCCGGTGGGAGAGCCATTGCGAGGACACTATGTTTCTGTCAAGTCTGTCGCGTTCTCACGGGATAGTACATGCATATTATCCGCCTCATGGGACAGCAACGTCCGAATCTGGGATGTGGAACTTCTCGAAATGCTGAACAGCATATGAAAAGTATCGTACAATGTTACACGCAGCTGTTCATTATCTCAGGCGTAGACGGTGTTTTTTTTAAATGTAAAATACCGTCTCAACTGTACATCAGCGTGTTTCAGAAAATACCCTACATCGGATTTCATAAAATCACTGCGGCAGGGTGGGTACCACGGGGCACTTGTGATGCATGGGGTTGTGTTTGGTTGCAGATGCTGTATCATTATGTAGAGGCTTCGAGCTTGGGGCTCAGTGGGTTCGGTGCAAGCTGGTTGAATCACGTCCTTGGCTGACAATTTTTTTTACTGGACCTCAAAAGCAACACAACACCAACTACGAGCCCCTTCCCAAAACACATCTAAGTACACCCACTCAACAACTCTCATGAAGCCCACTGACACTCACCTATGAAATTCATGGCGAACAATCAACCAAGAAATCCACAACGAGAGCTCAAAATTAGACATCGACATCCTTGCAGACCCTCTTACGTGTTACGCTTCAGGAAAGACGTCGCTCGTCGGCGTGATGGATGACGATCAACCTCGATCAACATAGGGGTAAGTTGTTGAGGCAGGAATTGGGTTTTCTTTTTTTCACACGTATGTACTCGAGTACATGTAATTATGTGGCCATTTTCAAAATTTCCCCCGCCAGCTCTATCCAAGCTCAACCGCCGAGGATCAAAACCGAGAAAGGGCGCAAGGGGGAACAGTTGCAAGGTGAGTTCCAGTGCCATCGCTCCATGTATGCATGATAACAATGATTGTGATAGTCTCCCCTGCGTGCCAGGGATATCATATGGAGGTCGACTGCCCTCCTGGTCCACGGGTCAAGATACCCTCGAACACACCGCGCGCGAGTATGCTCCCTTATCCCGTGCCGTTACGTGATGTGTGTTTGTAAGAAGAGCTCAGGGAGTAAAAGAAGCGATCAAGCTGAAAGTCCTGATTGGTGTTACAAACAGAAAGTCACGAAAGCGGGCATAAACGGCGGGACAGTTACAGTTGAGTGCAAAAAGAATGAAGGTTGGTTCATTTTTCTGGTTCTTTCTAAGAATCTATTGTACCTCAAATGTATTTGTGTATTCTTTTACATTATGTAGTTGTGTTACACTTCCCTTGGTATGGACTAATTTCAGTGAAAGCTGGAGCCTTGAGAAGGTTTTTATTCTGGAGGCCATTTTTGGCATCTGAAAAGAAAAATATGCGCTAACTGGGGAGGTAGCCAGAACATACCTCTGGTCAACCTGAATGAGCCTATCAAGGAATCAGTCAAAAATACTGAGTGGTTAGGTCTGTAGAGGCTTTGGAAAATGGCTTGTTTTGTCTACAACAGGCCAAAAATGACCAAAATAGCACAAAATGACCATTTTCTGGAGGCTCTACAAGCATAACCACTCAGTATTTTTATCTAATTCTTTGATAGGCTCATTCAGGTTGACCAGAGGTATGTTCTGGCTGCCTCCCCAGTTAGCGCATATTTTTCTTTTCAGATGCCAAAAATGGCCTCCAGAATAAAAACCTTCTCAAGGCTCCAGCTTTCACTGAAATTAGTCCATACCAAGGGAAGTGTAACACAACTACATAATGTAAAAGAATACACAAATACATTTGAGCTACAATAGATTCTTAGAAAGAACCAGAAAAATGAACCAACCTTCATTCTTTTTGCACTCAACTGTTCATAGTTTAGGTAGCTCATACCCATGAAAAGTCCCGGTCTACATACTATCGTCATGTAATGTGATTGTTAGATTATCACTGAATAATCATTGACATACACACCATACACACAGCTACAGTAACCGAATCAATCAGCCAGTGATGTTGCCGACACGTCGTGCGAATTACGGATACTAACTATGCATGTTGACTCGAAATTCCCCAACACCTTCAGGGAAAGATTCAGATGGAGAATATGCAGCCGAGTTGCAGCTGAGGTCATAGGATCGTCATCAGCAGGTTACTATCTGAAGGGTCTAAATTAGTCTAATCCTGGATAACTGCAACATCCAGATTGAATTAGATTCCAGTTGATACAACTATGATTTTCGTTGACTCCTCATCAGACAAGCAACAGCACCATGGAAGAGGGGCTTTGAACCCTTTTACACTCCTGAACTGCTGGAACTAGAGGGCGAACAGGGCCAGTCTGTCTCATGAATATTGCATGCCAACCACAGGCAAACAATGCGCTTAGATACATATTTGACCACAACAAGATGAATGCTCACTCACCGAGACGCTCACGGTATTCATACAAAAATACATCTCTCTGCTTACCTTATCACCACACCTAGATCTCACGGCACACCATCATGTGGCTGTCGCCGGCAGGCATTCTTGTAGGGAAACCCCCTAACCCTGTAAGACTAACCCCATTTGACCTTAGTTCTTTCCTCAAGCAGAGGCCTCATGCCTAGTGTTGCCGCAATGTAATGTACATTAAGTTTAATGTCAACTTTAAGGCACATTATGCCTATATTTGGTGGCTTCAAGGGGCTTTAAGGTGAGGCAGTGTAGGGCTGGGAATTGCGGGGAATTGCCGACACCGTGGTCATGCCTTGAAAAAAGCTTGAAGTGACATCATTGGAATAGGCACACTGGCCTCAGTGTTGTGCGTTCTGAGTAGTAGTCGACATGTTGAGCAGTAGCAGTTGTGCTGAGGTCAAAAACCATCAGGACTCTTTCCAAGGCCGTTTATAAATTAGCACAGCCTGTACAGGAGAGATGGCTACATATGTGCAATATAGTATCACCGCACCCAAACACAAAAAGCCAGCCACAGATCCCAACATGCAAAAACCTCCAAGAAAGCCTGAGGGACATAAAGCGATGGCAAAGAATTTGACAGCAGCAGAGCCAGGGCCACTTTACGGCGTTGGACCTGCAGACTCAAGTGAAACAACTTTGGATCACTGATAACACAACGTGCGGCATGCAAGAGATCTACCGCTTTTGCCACAAGTGTCGTCTGGTATTTCATGTGCTTGTTTCAATCAAAGAATCCATCCCACTTGATGAGTCTCCATTTCCAACCGTGATGCGACCAAGACTTATTGTAAGGCCAGCCTGCTGGAGGAGTATCAACAGCCTGAGGTTTCTCAAAAAACGGCGCCAACTCCTACTCCAATTGCAACCTCTGTCACATGGACAAGACCAATGGCATCACATGCCGCGCTTGCACAAGTTTCTATTAACCTCTATCTAAGTAGTTTATGTATATTGTTCGTAGTCCTCTTACTAGTTTTGTGACAGTCTTGTACATTTCCAAATTCGGAGGGCACTTTAAGGTCCCATTAAGGTACTTTAAGGCTGGATTTTTCTGGCCTTAAATTCCATCAAGCATCCATTGCGGCAACACTACTGAGTCATGCCCCCTAAGATTTTCGTTCAAGCCTAATTGGTAGATGTGTGGAATAACCCAACCCTTCGGCATATTGGTGTTTGTTGATTGGCAAGGGGACTGGTTTACCAGCCTCGACTCTGTGATTTTCGCACATCATTTGTCAGCCATTACAGCCTGTCCCAAGCCTTCCAATCTGCTTCTTCGGCATATCTTGTGCCCGATTTCTAGTGTTTGAAAGTCCGGTTCGGTCCGGTTTTTTGATGCCCAGGGGCGTTAACCGTAACCGTAACCGGTCTGCCTTTTCCCCAGAAGTCAAAAGACCAGACCGGACCGCAAAAAGACCGCAGACCGCAGTTTTTTGCGGTCTATAGACCAGTTTCGGTCTGCATCGGTTTTAACCGGTTTATGACCGGTCTTTAGGCCAATATTTTTTAATTATGAATCGGTAAATTTATTAACATCTCTAATAGCTTCAAAACGAGCCCAAGAACGTTAAATTCCGTTAGGAATTGGTGCTTCTATAAAATAAGTCTGGTACATCTATTATTCCCAAAAGTAATTTACCTTTTAATTCATATCTCTCTCGTTTTTTTACCAAATCGTACGTTCTTGGGTGCGTTTTAAAGGGTATTTAAGGGGCTACAAAAGACCGGTCCAAACCGGTCAAGACCGGTTCACGTTAACCGGTTTTTTTGCCGTCTTTACATTTCAAAAATAAAAGACCATAACCGCAGGTCTGGTCTTTTGCGGTCTTGGTCCAGTCTGGTTACAGTCTTTTTCCAGTCACAAGACCGGACTTCCAAACACTACCGATTTCTGACTTTGGCTATCCTTCCTCATGTCCATGTCAGGAACCGCCTCTGCAAACACCCAATAGCCCAAGCATCATTGGGAGGAGTAAATGTGGCTGTGATATCATTGTGATCAGGGGGCATGGGTATGTCATATTTGGCATCAGGGTCTATACAACAGACCACATCACCTTCCCATACACATGACCCATCTCAGCGTCTCCTGGGGGCATTGAATGCACATGGTGTCTAAGTTGTTTTCCACATGCGGGGGATCGAACTTGAGACCTTGCAGACCCAAGCCAGACAAACGATGGTGCCACCTGAGCCACCGTGCCCCTCTGTGTGTATGGTACCAACCATAACGCGTAACACAGGCCCCTATTTCCTCGATGTAACACATAACAGAGGCTTGGTTGGTAACGCCATGGTCGTTCAGCCTGAGCGCTTTGCGAATGCTCAGGCGTACCCAGGACAAAGGGTTGCTTATTTTGGGCTTGTAACGCGCAACACGAGCCTGGTTGCTAAAGGTACATCAATTCAGGATGTAACGCTGCCGAGGCCATTGGTACTGCTACAGTATACAAAAAATGATAGCTCTAAGTATTAGGTTGTTTGAGATTTTTTAGCTCCCCTCAACATGGAGAAGAAATTCGAGGCCTGGTGCGAATAACAATGGTTGACGCTAACTTACCTTCTGTGAACTTCTTTGATAGTGGCTAAGCCCATCAGAGTCATGCAAGGCATTCTGACGTGAAGCGAGGTCTTTACCATCCCCCACGTAATCCATGTCGATTCCAGTGGAGTCCAGTGGCCCATTTGTCAGGCCAAATTGGCTTGCACAATCCCCAGTCCACTGGACTCAAGTCCAGTCCAGTCCAGTCCAGTCCACTGGACTCTCACTGGACTACAAGCCACTTTTCTGAGTCCAGTCCCAGTCCAGTGGACTATGAGTCCAGTCAGAATCCACTGGAGTCCAGTGGATTCCAGTGATTCCAGTGCATTATTGCTTATTACTTATTATTATTAATACTACAAAAAAGCGAAATAGACTATACAGACTTATAATTCTATTGATCAATGAATGGAAAGGTAATGTTATAGATATTAGTATAGGTAGTGATAGCTGCAATAAGGATTCATGATTTTGTTCAGTCTGCGGGGTGAGATCATGTGACTACTTGAGGGCGTGCCATATCGTCACGTATCCTGTTTGCGGCATGGTCACACATCCGTGACCATCCCTTTCCCTTCCACCACCACCACTGTCCTCTAACACCGCCGACGCCAACGCCGCTCACGCCAACAACACCCATGCCAACAATGCCCATGCCCACGCCAACAACGCCCACGCCCACGCCAACAACGCCCACGCCAACGCGGAATGACGGGCCAAGAACGAGGGACAACGCCCATGACGTGGCAACGTCATGGGCCAAGGGTACGTATGCCCACCACCCCAATGCCCAGTTCTCACCACGACAGGTGCCAGCGGCACGCGACAACGACGTGCGAGGTCGACGACGTGCGAGAACGACGACGACGATGACACGCAAGCACGACGACACGCGACAACAACAACGCGACAACGACGACACACGACGACGACACGTGACAACGACGACACGCCAGCACGACGATACGCGACAACGACGAACGAGCGCCCACCACCGCCAACGCCAATGCAGAACGGCGACGAGCGCCCAGCAGCGGCACGCGACAACGACAACGACTCACGACGACAACAACAACGACGTGCGAGTAGTGTTTGGAAGTCCGGTCTCGTGAATGGAAAAAGACTGTAACCAGACCGGACCAAGACTGCAAAAGACCGGACCTGCGGTTACGGTCTTTTATTTTTGAAATGTAAAGACCGCAAAAAAACCGGTTAACGTGAACCGGTCTTGACCGGTTTGGACCGGTCTTTTATAGCCCCTTAAATACCCTTTAAAACACACCCAAGAACGTACGATTTGGTAAAAAAACGAGAGAGATATGAATTAAAAGGTAAATTACTTTTGGGAATAATAGATGTACCAGACTTATTTTATAGAAGCACCAATTCCTAACGGAATTTAACGTTCTTGGGCTCGTTTTGAAGCTATTAGAGATGTTAATAAATTTACCGATTCATAATTAAAAAATATTGGCCTAAAGACCGGTCATAAACCGGTTAAAACTGATGCAGACTGAAACCGGTCTATAGACCGCAAAAAACCGCGGTCTGCGGTCTTTTTGCGGTCCGGTCTGGTCTTTTGACTTCTGGGGAAAAGGCAGACCGGTTACGGTTACGGTTAACGCCCCTGGGCATCAAAAAACCGGACCGAACCGGACTTTCAAACACTACGTGCGAGGACGACAACGACGTGCGAGAACGACGACACGCGAGCACGATGACATGCGAGCACGACGAACGACGACGCGACGACGACGACACACGACAACGACAACGACGACAACGACAACGACAACGACACGCGAGCACGACGATACGCGACGGCGCCCACCACCGCCAACGCCAACGCGGAACGGCGACGAGGGCCCAGCAGCACCACCCCTCCCCTCCACTCTCTCCCCCCATCACTACCTCCTCTCTTCACCACTCTCTCCCCCCTTTCCCCCCTCCCCCTTTCCTTGCTCCCTCCCCCTCCATTCCTCTCTTCCCCCCTCCCTTTCCCTTCCCCCTTCCTTGCTCCCTCCCCCCTCCCTTTCCCTTCCTGACACCACTCCCTCCCCCTCCATTCCTCCCTTCCCCCTTCTTCCCTCTCCCCTTTCTTTTCCTTCTTCTCCCTCCCCCTCTCTGTAACATAGAATCTAGTAAATTTAATTAATTTAATTAATAAATATACTTCAATTTTATTTTTTGTTTTGAGATCTAAGTTCAGGAATTCTGAATTAACTTAGGTCTGTGGCAGTCCAGTCCAGTCCAGTTTTGTGTTGGGAGAGTCCAGTGGAGTCCAGTTTTGTGATTTGCAGTCCAGCCCAGTCCAGTCCAGTCCAGATTTATGCTTGCAGTCCAGTGGAGTCCAGTTTTGTGCTGGGAGTCCAGTGGAGTCCAGTTTTGTGATTGGCAGCCCAGTCCAGTCCAGTCCAGTGGAATCCAGTGGAAGCCAGTGGAATCCAGTGGAGTCCATGTGGATTAGGTGGGGGATGGTAAAGTATTGACATGAAGCTCTGAAATCAAAACTTTAAGTCACTTCGTATTAGGAACATCAGACGATTGATGAGAACACAAATAATGACCACTCATTTGATTACCACAGAGAAGTCATGTCGGACTTTTTTTTTGCTGGTTGCACTGGACACATGACAAGATAATCTGCACTGAAATACTCTAAAAATATCTTTTGAAAGTTCCTTATTTTTTTTCTGTTTTCTAGTAAGAAACATGTAATACATCTACAAAGATTGTTTTCAATAAATGAAGATTAAATACTTATAAAACATGTTAAAAACATATAGAAACTTACTTGAAAGATATTGGGTTAATTTGAATTGTCTAAATATGTATCTCAATATGTTCTACATGTTTTCCAACATATTTTATCAATATTTGACCTTCATTCATTGAAAAGAATCTTTATAGATGTATTACATATTTCTTGGTAGAAAACAGGGAAAAAATAAGGAACTTCCTGTTAAGATAAGACGGTAAGCGATAGCTCAGGCGGTTACACGTAGGAGTAAATGACTGTATAGTCAATCTCTACCTGTTAAGATAAGACGGTAAGCGATAGCTAAGGTAGAGATAAGTAAGTAATGTATCGGAAGATATATGAGTAAAGAAATACACACCTCAGGCGGTTACACGTAGGAGTAAACGACTGAGGTGCGAGGAACGGAAAGGAGCGAGAAAATAGTAAGTACGGAAGTAAATGAAGGTGTTAGTAAATAGTAATAAAGAGAGTATGTGTGTAGGGTTCTAATCCTCAACACTCCCCCTGAAACCGTAGCTCCTAAATATTGATGTATTCCATTCCCATGATTTTGATGAGGCGCTTGAGTGTTGGTCGAGAAAGTGATTTTGTAAATATATCGGCGACATTTTCAGTTGTATCGATAGGAACGACGGTGATGTCTTCGAGGTTGACAGCTTCACGGATCCAGTGGGTCTTGACGTCGACGTGTTTGATTTTGGTGTGACCTCCAAAGTTCTTGGTGAGAGCGACGGCGGCGTCGTTATCGCAGTATATGGTAATGGGGAGGTCGAAGCGTTGGTCAACTTCAAAGAACCAAGAACATACCCATTTTGCCTGTTTCCCAGCCTCAAAAACGCCCACATATTCAGCCTCTCCGGTCGAAGTGCTGACTCGCCTTTGAGTCTTTGCTTTCCAGCTGACTGGTCCTCCAGAGGATATAAAAACGAAGCCAGCGGACGAGCTTCCAGTGTATGGGGCGAGGATCGGATGCATAGCGCATCAGTGCCATGACCGAGAAAGCGATGTCAGGCTGGGTACCATTCGCGATGTGGTTAAGCATTCCCAATGCGCTCCTATAATCCTTATCGCACATGAATTCGGAGTCATGAAGAGGGATGGGCATAGGTTGTGATTCCATGAGGGTTACGCCTGGAGGGAGAGGGGTATACTTTGGATTAGCGTTCTCCATTCCGAATGTAACCAAGGCCTTTGTTATAAGCGGTTTTTGATGGATAGATATGTCGCCGGAATCGTGATTCACGATTGACATGCCAAGTACTTTGTTAGGCGTGCCTAAATTGGTGATTTCGAATTTTGCCCCGAGTTCTTGTTTCGCTCGATCCATTGCGGCAACTGAAGAAGATCCTGACGATACATCATCGGTATAAGTCGACGAGATAGTATACCCTTCAGGAGTATATTGAATGCGTACGCATGGGTCTGCTCGAGACTGGCGATGGCCGAGTTCAGTAAATGTTTTGTTGAGTAGACGGAACCAGTTGTTGGCGCCGTCCATGGTGCCGTAAATGGTGAAGTTCATGATGAGAACTGTGTCGACATTGGGGATTTTATAGTGGTTTTCGAAGCCCTGGGGAATTTCGAGGTAATTGATTCCCTGGGGTTTGGAGTTAAGGTACGCTCCAACGAAGTCAATCAGCCAGAAATAGAGCTTTAAACTTGCAATGAGCGCAAACAGCATTCTGACAGATTCGTATCTGGCCACTGCGGCAAAGGACTCGTAGTAATTCTCCCCAAGCCTTTGAGAAAAACCTTTAACTACCCCACGGGCGCGACGTCTAATGAGGCTCCCTTCTCCGTCGACTTTCAGGTCATAGACCCACTTCCCTTTGATGGTTTTTACACCAGAGGGATGAGGAACAGCTGCTACAACGCCACGCTCATCCCATCGGGCAATCTCTCTCTCCATTGCCGGGAACCATAGATGACGTCGGGACAGATTGAAAGCGTCTTCGAATGTTACTGGGACGAATCGGTTTTGTGGTTCCGGAGGGAATTCAGCATTCAGCGCGGTGTGTGTGGATTCGTCATCTTCATCAGGGTCTTCCAAAATAGGAATTGAAGCGTCATCATCATTTTCAATTGGTGGGGGGTTATTTTTCGCAGCAATTCTTGCTGATTGATGTGAAGCTGGGGGATATACGATTCTGGGACGTGTTTGCGGTTGGTTGATAGTATCCGGAATAACTGGTTTATCAGGAATGGTGGGAACAACAGGGGCAGCGATAGGGTTTTCGATGACTCTTGGTTCTACAAGAAAGTCGTAGTCAGTATCGCCGTTGTCCTGATGGAAGTACTCCCCCTCAGTTGTGAGGGTACGGTGTCCAAGGCCTTCCTCAAATTTGACGTTCTGGGAACGGATGATTTGGCCAGTCTCAGGGATCAAGATCCTGTAAACACCTCGGCCCTCAATTCCGATCAATCTGCCTTTTTGCCCCTGTGCGGCTAATTTGCTTCCGCCCTTCTCAAAGGGGATGTGCACATATGCGATGCAACCCCAGACCCTTATATGTCCCACATCCTGTTTCTTTCCTGTCCACTTCTCTTCAGGGATCGCACCTGGGTGTCGACTGGATGGCAACCTATTCTCCGCATAATCCGCGAAGGCCCAAGCCTCGGCCCACCATTTTGCCAGTACTTTACAGTGCCCCACCTATTCCTGCAGGAATCCTGCAGGAATGGGATCATTCCAGTGGAATTCCAGGGGAATCCTGCAGGAATAGAGTCATTCCAGTGGAATTCCAGAGGAATTCCAGAGGAATCCAGAGGAATCCAGAGGAATTCCAGTGGAATCCACAGCATTCCACTGGAATTCCACTGGAATAGGACTGGAATCAAGCAGAGTAAGTTTTTTTCAACTCCAAGCTTATCCTGATGACTTGGCACTCATATTTCCTTATAAAATTCACATGTAGAAGTCATAGATTGAGTTGTAATTTATTTGACATGTATTACTACACACACTACACAGTTTATCTTAAAGGGAGGGGGTAGAGGAGGGACAAGGTGGGGATGTATTTGAAATGTATTACTACACACATTACACAGTTTATCTTAAAGGGAGGGGGTAGGGGAGGGACAAGGTGGGGGTGTATTTCTATTATTGGGAGGGACAAGGAAGGGGGAAGAACAAGGGAGGGGAGGGAGGAAGGGGGGAAGGACAAGAAAGAGGGAAGGAAGGAAGGGGGAGGGACAAGGAAGGGGGAGGGAGGAAAGGGGGGAGGGAGGAAAGGGGGGAGGGAGGAAAGGGGGGAAGGAATGGTGGAGCAAGGGGGAGGGACAAGGAAAGGGGGAAGGAGGCAGGGAGGGAGGGAATGGTGGAGGGGAGAGGGAGTGTGGCTGGGACCTCGGCCATCGTCGTCCCGCGTTGGCATCCCATCGTTGTGTCGCATTTCGTTGTCGCCTCCTCGTCGCGTGTTCGCGTTTTCGTCGTGTGTCCGCGTTGTTGCGTTATTCGTGACGTTGTCGTCGCCGTCGTCGTGGGCGCTGGTTGCCGTTGGGGGCGTCGTCGTGGGTGGCGTTGGTGTGGACGTGGTGGTTTTGGTAGGCGGCGTGGTGCCGTCGTATGTCGTGTGGGCGGTGCGTGTTTTTCGGTGGGCGGCGCGTGTTTTTCGGTGGGCGCTCGTGTTTTTCGGTGGGTGGTGGGATGTTTTCGTGGGCGGGGTATGGTTTTCGTGGGCGCTGGCGGTGTACATGGGCGGTGGGCGTCGTTTTGTGCCCGTCGGGTGTCGTTTTGTGTCCGGGGGCGTTGTTTTCGTGGGCGTTGGGTGTTTTCGTGGGTTACGGCGCTCGTTGTTTCGTGACGTGGCGTCGCCGCGCTGTTGTTGAAGGGTGTTGTGGTTGATGTTGGTGGTCGTGGTGGCCATGGGTGATCGAGGAGCGATGTTGGCGGTGGTGGCTATGGGTGACGGTGATGGCGTGGCGTTGGCGGCGGTGACGAGCATGGTGGTGGTGGTGGAAGAAGAGAGTGGCCATGTTTGGTGAGCATGTTCACCAAACAAACATTGTTTGTGATCCATTGAAAATAAATAAACTATAATACAGTAATAAATAAATAAAATAAACAGATTGGACTGGAATCCCATTCCTGCCCACTCCGGGGAACACCATTCCTGCCCATTCCGGGGAAGACCATTCCGGGGAA